TTGAACCATACTCTTTTCCAAGATCATAGACAGATGAACTCAGGGTTTATATGTTCAGCCATCTTAGGTATTCCTTGTATGGTTTACAATTACGTTAGCATGTTTATATTTATTATTTAGTGAGGAATGTTGATGTAAGTATTGATTCTTCTTTGCATTTGATAGATATGTCAAAGGAAGATCCTTTTCGTTCGGCCAATTCTCATCCAAGAAAGGATAATGCATATGTATGGCTATTCTATAGCCTATAGGAAGGCTTGAAAGACCAAAGTGAAGGGTATTGTGAAGATCTTTGGTAATTGGGACAAATCCTATGCCTTCATGCTTAGGTGGTTGACATACATGTTGTAGTGTTCAGTGGGTTCGGCCTTCAAGCTTGATACGAAAGAATATTTTGTCAACCATCAACTTGTCAATGATAAGGTCGTGTTCGAAAGGCATTTTTGAATATTTCACAAATGCATTGAGGCCTTTAAACTCTACAAGCCAATTATACAATTTAATGGCACTCATATATATTGGAAATACAAAGGGACACTTTTGATTACGACCACACAAGATGGACGTAACCATGTACTGCCAATTGCCTTTGTTGTTGTACCTCTAGGTAAAAAGTAGGATGATTGGTCATGGTTTCTGGCCAATCTACGTATCCATATGACACCGAGAGAAGATATATGTCTAATATCTGATATGTATCGGAGCATCATATCGGCAATCTCAAATGTGCATCTTGGTTGGCAACCTCCACATGTTTTTCATGTGTTTTTCCTTCGTCACATTGGAAGTAATTTTAATACTAAATTCAAGAATGTAAAACTAAAGAAGGATTGGATGAAACTAGGTATAAAATTTCATTTGTATGATTAATTTCGTAGTTTTGATTAAAAGGATCATAACTAATGATTTATTTTCTTTATGATGCAGGCTATATGAGTTCAAAGATTCATTTTGACTTGAGATTTTAGGAATTTCAGGACATTAGCCCAGATGTTGCTGCATGGATTGATCGGATTCCCAAGGAGCAATGATGGATAGTTTATAATGAGGACGGTTGGAGGTTTGGCCACATACAACTAACCTATCCAAGTGCGTGAATAGGATTATGAAAAGTGCACATAATATTTCAATAACAGCACTGGTGAAGAGCACGTATAGTAGACTGGTTGAATATTTTGTTAGTAGACATGTTGAGATTCAAGGACATATCAATGAAGGCAGACATATTCAAAAAAGATTGACCAAGCCTTGCAGCAGCATACTATCTTGTACGGGTATGTGGTAAGCTCACAACATATATGTATCCATGCAGCCACGTCATTGCAGTGTAAGGCGACAACCATGAACATTCATCAGTATGTGGATCATGTATTCTACATGAATTACAGTGCTCGGGTATATGCTATACAATGGTATTCAATCGACAATGAGTTGTTGATTTCACCAGGCGATGAACTAATTGTAATCCATGATCCAAACTTGCTACACGCAAAGGGAAGACCAAAATAAACAAGAATACAAAATGAGAAGGACTGCGTTGAATCTTCAAGTAACTAGAGTAAATGTAGGCGTTGCAAGCAAGTTGGTTATAACTATCTACGTGTCCAATGAGAATTAGACATGTGTGATTGTATTTTGTGTATTGTAAGAAGAAGTTATAATTGTATTAGTGAGATACATTATGGTTTGTTTTGTTGATGTAACCTTAAATTGTTAAGTTCAATGATAATGTCCATTGCAATATTTTGTTGCTATTATATGTTCACTTATGTTACAAAAACTACTAGTAGGTGTTATGAAACCACAAAGCCCCTCCCCAAGTTCAAAAGTACGAGTACTTGTCAATTGAATCAAGTTCGCATCATTCTTCAACATAAATGACACTTTGGTATTTTGGAACCCATTCAAGTCCTTGTTTTTGTACCTTTAATCAATGTTATTAAAATTGGCTCGGTCATTGACCTGGTCGAGGTACCGGGTCACTGAGTCATTGGTTCAATCAATGAATCACTGGTTAAATCGCATGACCGATGATTATATGTAAATCTATAATTTATATGAAAAAATTATAAACATACTCAGATAGCTGGAAAAAAATATAAATTCTAAATATTTTAATATGAAAAATAATAAATTACACATTATTGTCCAATAAAGGATCAAACAAACATATAATGTTTGTGATACTGGTGTTTTAGGTTTAGTTAATGACATCTCTAACTAATAATCAAATTAAAATTCTCTGCATAGTGCATAACTGAGATAATATTAGTATTGTAGGTACATAATCTATGTAAGTCAATAAGCAATAGATCTGATATAAAAAAAGTAAATAAGCAATAGATCACTCAAATATGTCAATTATGCTTTTTTTGAATTTTTTTTTTAAATAAACCGGGTCGAGTCACCGGTTTTCACCAAAACCGGGTCGCATCGGGTCCAATGCATTGCCGATCCACTGCTTCACCCGGATCGGTTATATGACCGACTCATCAGTTACTGAGTCGACTAGGCCAGGCCGGTTTGGGTTTATTAACAATGCCTTTAATTGGTTAGGGCTATTCATAGGTGTTATGAATCCCCAAAGACCTTCCCCAAGTCCAAATGTACAAGTACATTAATGTAGAAACTCATTCGGATCGAAAAATCTCATGGAAAAAATTTAAAATTGTCCAGTTCACTAATGTACTCGAATAACCAATACTGGTATTCTGGAGTAACATATACTGGTCCAGTTCATCGATGTACTAGAGGAAAAATACAAAATAAAGGAAAAATACATCAAGATCCTAAAACAGATCTACAAACATAAAACAACCCTAAACCTTAATTTGAGCGCGTCTCCTCATCGTCATCATTATCGTCAGTAGCACCAAACTCATCCACGGTGCCAGGAGCCTGTCTGTATCCAACCTCTAAGCAACCAATCCTCTCTTCCAGGCCAGTAAATCGACGCTCCATACGATCCCACCTCATATCCTATCTACGCCTAAATTCCCTAAACTTTTGTGTCAAGCCCTGAAAGTCTTGTGTCAAGCCATGGATGGATGTTATGAGACTTATGACATCAGAAAGGGGTATCCACCCTTAGGAGCAGGAGGAGGTGGATGGACGTCCGGTATAGGCATCTCCCCCACATCAACACCATCATCATCGTCATCGTCGTCAGCATCAAGTATCTGTGCGTCCTCCTCATCCACTTGGACTTCAGGCTCAAGTTGTGTCTTCCATTTCCACACGGCTCTCACCTTTACAGATCCTGCATTGCTCCAAGAGACATTTCCCGAACATGGTGTTCTATCCCCTAACAGTCTTCAAAGTCTCAGTCTCCATGGATACACCAAAATACTTCAATATTCTCTGAACAAGGAAGGCATATAAAAGCAAACCCTTCATCGCAGCATGCTGCATATTACAACATATGTAGTGACTCTAGCTGACCTGTATGTTGTGATGGATGTCCCACATCTCAACAAAGTCAGCCTCTAGCACCTTCCCATGATTATGGGTTGCTGGAATAGTATGTGAGTCATTATGTAAAACAGGATGCAGGCATCAACACTAAGCATTCCCAACTGATGTCTAAGCTTGACATCATGCCTCATCGTCTCCTCCATAATATCATCTCGCCTATATTCCTCAATGGTAGCATTAGGCTCCCTGTCAAAATTGGCGGCAGCCTCAACATCAAAGTCGTATCCTAACAACTCCACCTATATATTAGCTATCATAACAATGTCAATACTGCAGATGCAGGATGTCAGCTCACCATGTGAATAACGGCAGTTCTGGTAGAACGCCCTCACCATAATCTCATAATAAAGGCACGACATCTCCACAAGCACCCTCAGATGTGCGTGGTCCAACAGTCTAACAGTTTCAAACCCCTCAGTCAAGAAGAAAGTCGAATCCAACAACTTTGGCTCCAAATGGCTTTGCTCATAAACTCTAAGACAAATCAGGCATGCTCTGTGGGATCATTCTCAAATAAGTCTCCTTCTCAACAGTCTTGGACAAACAAGACATGTCATGCTTGTGCTTGGACCATCTTTTTGTGTTGCGGGACTCTTGGAGGGTCTTCTATCAGCCATGAATAATATGACAAACTTACAAAAACACATGAAAATGACTCAACAACACAAAATACCAACATATTAATAAATAAATAAAACCCGAAAAACACTTCTGAAATTGCGAAAAAGAAAATCAAAATTCGAAACCTAGACAACCACATACAAGCACATATACAACCATCAAAACCTAAACTAAAAACAACCATAAATCCGAAAAATCAAAACAAAAAGTCAAGTAACATGGAATTTATTTCGGTTAGGATTTATATACAAAATTCGCCCAAATACATACCTAATTCAAAATCCAATCGTATGAACAAAGAGATATTAGTGATGATCAAGGTACCCATCACGCGATTTGAGAAAGTTTTCTAGCATTACACACGCTTTGGGAGGGATTGGGTGAGAGCCTCGTCGGTTTTAGGGTTTATGTTTAGCTGGAAGCGCTCGATATTCGGTCATATAACCGGACTTTGGGCTGAGAGTAATACAACATTGTCTCTGTCAGGGAAATATACCTATATATTTTTTGGTCATGTGTCATAGTGTGGAAATTTCTTGTTTGGTACAAAGCAACTGTCATGAGACATTGTATTATTTCCATAACAACTGTTACAATTATAATTAGACTTGATAAATTACTTTGTATTTATCAGAACACAATGGCTCTGTTGATTCACGTGGACGATAAATTATTCTATGTTTAGCAAATTTTACAATTATAATTAGACTTGATATAGTAATTTGCATTTATCAGAACACAATGGCACTGTTGATTCATGTAGACAATTCCATCTTGATTTAACACAAATTGTTCCTTTCAACTCTCCCTTCCTACATTAGTAGCTATGTGTGTGTATTTTTCTAAACATTGATAACCGCATAAAACTAACAGTAAATTTCAAATAAAGATACTAAACAGTCCCAATATCACATAATCTTACCCCTGACAAACACTTGAATTATTCTAGAAACTCTGGAAATTTCTTGTTAGGGGGCAAAGCAACAGTTAAAAGCTGCCAGAGGAAACCTCTATACAAATACAGAAGATCCATTATAGTAATGACACAGGAACGTCATGACTACATCTGACAAGAAATGATTTACAATAGATAAGTTTCAACAAGAAAACTCTACCCCAATCATGTTACAAAAGCCAGCAAGCCTGAGCATGTAACAAATTATTCCTCCAACAAAATACCTCACAGCTCAGCGATGGGTATATGAAGCAGCAAAATCTAGCATTTTTGCCAAGCAGCCATAAGCTGTACCCTAAAGCATTCGTTACTCTTTGGTAACCCACCTATGGCCTCTAATCTGGTAGCCCCCATAGCTTTGGTCACTACTGCTCTCTCCTCCACTCTCTCCACTCGTATATCCAGATTTTCGACGGTGCTTCTTTACTCTCGATATCCCACTATCGCTAACACTCCCATTCAAGAGGGGGTCATCGATACCCCGAATCACCCTCCTTGCAGGTGATGATGATACGATGCAACTATCATCCTTGGTTCTTCTTCTATCTTTGTCATGCTTCTTAATGTTTTGGGAGATTTTGTGTAGTTTTTCATTGAATCTAGTGATCCCCTTTTCCACAGGCTCCACTGCTTGATGGACTGTGAACTTCACATCTTTCACAATCTGAATGTTAAAATAAAGTGTAAAGCAGATAAAATATAGAGAAGCACATGAGATTAATATGAAATGCACATAAGCCATTCGTATACTACTAATAACGATAACTCTGGGCGGTTTTCAACTTTTTATTGTTCTAAAGGTTCCTAGTACTTATTTCATTGGCATGTATAGAAACTACATCTATAAGGTGACACACTACATATCCTGCCGACTGTGAATTGTGGACTCCAGTTCAAAAACTGAAAATTGGCAGACCCATTAGGAAATGATCCTACAAGCAGGTTTTAAAAAATAACTATAATGCTACCAGATCATCTTAAATCAATTTTTTTTTTCTTATCCCTCAGCAAAATATGCACTGTACTTTGCCAATATTAAAACACTAAAGTGAGATTTATATGATGCCATAATCTCCAAAGCTAAGTCGAAAGTTTGACCTAATTCCCCAATAATATTTTGAAAGAAGATAGTTTGTTTTATGAGTAACTATCAATTAGTCCCTTTATGACAAGTTCACAAATACTTTGAACTTTGAAGGGTTTAATTTTTCACAGAATGACAGGATAATGTAATTTCCCAGCCTTTCCCAGGAAGGGGATGTTACCAAGTGCTGATTTGCACCACATGCCCAGATCACAGTTTTAATATAAGCAAACTTCAGGAAACTTACATATCCACCACCACCAATAACAACATCACGAACACTCTCCCTAATTGTCATCCCGCTCTTGGCATCATCGTCAGGTGTAGGAAGACGCAATTTTGTGGGTCTCTCGCTGTCCCTAATTTCATCAGGGTCGAGAGAACAGTCAGCAGAATAATCCCCCAGAACTGAAACACTTCCAGGTACGCAGTCACCCATTAGCTCATAAGGCTTTGCTGGAAACACATACAGGTGAACTATGGAAGCAATGCCCATCTGTGCTGGATGAATACAAAGGGCTGTTAAACTTTATTCTTCCCCTTATCTTAAGCAGTCATAAAAATTTAACATATGAAAATAGGAAGGGCTGAACATGTAATTACGAGTCCAAAAAGGTTGAAGTACAAGTTCAAGAAACAGTGTAGAAACTCAATAGCTTGAGTGTTGACAAAACATAAATGGAAAATGCAACAGAGCACTACAAAATTAGAAAGTATGAACTACTAAATTTTCTAGCATATACTCATCCCACAACATTGGGTTGCCTGATTATTATTAAGAACAATTAAATGATCAATCCCATCACATCATATCACATCAGCGTTTACAAGTTGGGGCTTACAACAAATACCTAGTTCAATGAAAAACAATTATATTATATTAAAGCTTGGTGAAATTATAATAATGTAATATAAAGATAATTGTGGCTTGTACCTATAGACTTTAGAAGGATCAATTAGCAACAAATTAACATAAATCACCTAGAGAAATTGACATTCTCTAATCGTAGAATTAACTTCCCACCAAATGATGACCAAAGAAGAGAATTAATTTTGGAGATTATGTTCACAAACCAAGACCCTGCATTCCGGACCAGGGAGGAGCAGGGCCTTTGTGTCAGTCATTCCATAAAAAGTTTCCTAATAACAATCAGTTGTAAGATAAAATAGATAGACAGGACATTAAATAAAAATGCTGTTAAAGTACCCAAAGTAGCCTATGCAAAGAAGCAAGCTAAACTCCAGTGAAGGACATCTACCTCGATGCAAATGATGAAATCTTGGACACTTGACTTAGACTGCAAGCCTTGTGCTATGGGACTTTTGAACAAACCAAAGGTATATAGAAGAGCAATTGCCACACCTTGCCACCAAGTGAGGAACACAATTGATTTAAATGTCAAAAATTTGGCCAATGGATTTATGTGAGCCAGCTCCACCTTTGTAACAGTATAAAATTGAACAAGGCAGTACAATGCCCACGACTGACTGAAATTCAGAACCACTGCCATGTAAGGATACCTACAAATGTAGCAAATAGCTAATGCGGTCAGAAATAACTCCCGAACCTTTACCTGTGGCTATTGCTAAAAGAGCATAATAACACAACCTTTAACTACCAATTCCAGAAAAATTGTATAATCAATTCAACACCACTGCATGCAAGGGATTCACTACAGCACCAGTAACAATCAGATGCAGACATAATTAATAGCATCTCATACAAAAGGTTTGGTTCAAAGAGAAATGCTAAATCCTCTGAACAAAACCCCCAAATAAACCTCCTAATTACTTAAGGAGGAAAGAAAAGACAAAAAAAGGCATGTGGATTTAATAGTTTAGGAGTTTCATAACTTCCCTTTTAATGTTCTCCTTCCTCCTTAAATAATTAGTAGGATTATCGGGCTAATGTTTTAAGAATTTCTCTGGTTTAAAATTTTCTAGATCAGAAAGAAATAAAAACTTTGAATGGCAAAGTTACTGACTACTCTTTACACTGAAATTCTCAGGTACACCAGCTCATTGTTAGTGCCTTTGAAGTTTCAAAAGACAAATTTTATATGGCACATCTAAAAGGAAAACTAATCCAATCAGCTACCTCAAAGACCAAAATTAAACCTTCCCAAGTTTGGACATTTTCTTCCCTTTTTTCCCCCTCAAATTTTCCAGCCGGATATTCTTGTTTCCCTACAAGGTTAAGAACTTCATGTTTCTCACAAGAATTATATTTTCCCTCTCATCTATCTGTTTACGTGAAATTGGAGTAGTTCAATAACTTCCATAGCTCCTCAGAAATTGAAGAAAGTAGGTTCTGAATAGTCAAGGAGTGTTCTTATTATGTTTGTACAGATAAGGACAAAAATAATAAAAAATGTATAGTCAAGGTACTTGGAACAAGGATGACCATAAAAAATAACACAGATGTGGCAGTCATCAATTATGATAACCATATAGGAAGGTGAATGGAAGGCATGGTTCACAAGAATCTACCTTATAAAAATGTATACTTATAAAGATACAGAAAGAAGTTCTATGTTCCATGGAAACAATGATAGTAAATTAAAAGTAATGGAAGGAATAATTATAAGGTAAGCAAGTTCTTTTGAGGCACATAAAACACAGGAAAGAAGGAAGAATAAAAGATCAAGAGGCAAGATAAAATTGAACTGGATTAAGGAAATAAAAAATTGTACAGGAGCAGTTCCAAAATATCTTACCCACATCCCAATTTAAATTCTCCTTCACAGTAGACTCCAAAGGCTTCAAGGATAACGGCCATAATAGCAGTGAAGGACTTTATTATCATCTGTAAGGGAATGGAGAGATTTAATGAATAGGAAGAAAATATAAAGTAAGAAAGAGAAGAAGATTTAAGCGAGATGGAGAAGCATACATATTGAACAATACCAATTTTGACAATTTGGTAAAAGCGGTAACCAAGTATCCAGGGTTTAAGGAAGTAGTTCATAGGAAAAGGGTGGTGTACAGTGCCCTCGTGAGAAGAATGGTGGTGTAGAAGAGGAGTTTTAAAAGTAGCACGACCTTCTCTTTCCATAAATTCAATGGTCCTTTCCTCGCCGCCCAGGCAGGCAACAAGGTATCTTCCAAAGCAATACATGGCAAAGGATTCATAGCAATCCCTTAGAATTTCGCAATCAACACTGATTGAAGGATTGACCAATGATATAAGCTGGTAATGCCGTAATGGTAATGGTAATGGTAAGTAAGAGGAAATTGAAATGAGTTGAGATAATAATAATAGTAATATGTAAAAAAAACAAGTTGAGTTGAGTTGTGTTGAGTTGTGTTGTGTTGTGTTGTGTAACTTACAGATTCAATAGAATAGCAGGGAACCATGAGGATAACTCCAATCAAGAACTTTTGCTCTTCGGGATTCTTGTATGCGGAAAGATGCTCAAATAAAAGATACATGGATAGAGTAAGAGTGAGGAGGAGAAATGCAGAAGAAATTATAGTTGCCCATGCTGGAGGCGAGTTAACCAATTGGATGATGATGCTGTTGTTCATTGAGATTGAGGTTGAGGTTGAGGTTTCAGTATCAGTATCAGGACTGACAATATAGCTAGCATACGCATAATTCAATGCATAAGTTCAAATTCCCCTAAAATCACCCAAACAGCACAGCACCTGTTGAACAGGACTATAAAAACATAACATAGATTCGATTAGTGGATGCGCATAATAATAGTAATAAAACTGATGATCCATGGAGAAGCAGGGGCAGAATCAGACAGATCAGAGCAATGAAAAATTGAGAATGAAAAGGGTAAGGGGGAGGGGACTGGTCAACCTTATCTGAATCTGAATCGACAACCAACAATTCACGAAATCCTTCGCAATTCTCCACTCCTCTTCCGCCTTCCCCTTCTGCCTTCTTCTGCCCTCTGCCCTTGCTCCCTGCTATAAATAATTATAATAAATAAGTACTCTCTTTTATTTCTCTACTCCTCTCTCCTCCACATTTTCATAATTATTAAAAAACAAAATACACTAATTATTTTTATTTATTTTGTTTTCATTTTATTAATTACGAAGCTTCTTAAACGACGCCGTTGTGAGCTGTGTAATGTAAACTCTTTTCATTTTAATTTTTGTTTTGTTTTGTTTTGACCAAGGTAGCATAGCAAGCAAAGCAGCAAGAGTGGAGAAATGGAGAACAGGGCAGTGCTACGGGAATGGTTCGACCGAGTTGACTCGGACAAAAGTGGAGGCATAACAGCGCTCCAACTCAAGGTTTTTTTTATTTCAATTCCAATTCCAATTCCAACTCCAATCGATTTTTGATTTATAAAATTGTTTTTGACAATCAGACAGCTCTAGCTGTCGGCAACCTCGAATTTCCCCTCACGGTTGTTCAGCAGATGATCAGGTCCATAATTCTTGTCTCCACTTATATTTCAATTTCGGATTCTTGCATGATTCTTTTATTTTTAATTTAATTTAATTTCTCCTATACATACTGTATAGGATGTACGATTTTGACAGGAATGGTTCTATGAGCTTTGAAGGTATGCCAATATGTTATCGCCCAGTGCCATAAGTATTGACTATTACCTACGCATTACCCATTTACCAACCAAACCCATTTTTTTACCCCGAATTATCCGGCTTCTTTCTTCAAATGCTATCTTATTGTAAGCTTTTCTCCCTGCCAAAACCACGCCCAAATTTTAAACTTGTGTGCTATATTTCTTAATTAATTAGTTTTATATTTGAATTCAAACATTTTATCACTCTCTCTAACCTTCAGATAATTTGTTTGTCCCAGAATTTATTGCACTCAACAAGTTTCTTCTTAAGGTTAGTACTTTCACTTGTGCTAAATTAGTGCAGACTGTTGTACACGTCTGTGATTTCTTATTGGCTTTCGGCTATCGAATCCCAAGACATGTGATTACCTCAATTATTGTGTTCATTTTTCCTCATAATTCATGTCAACCCTTTTTCTGCGGGGGGACGAGATTATTTTATAGTAGTACTCCTGGCACACTTACTCCTTCCTTCCAGGAGCTGCCACTTAGAGAAAAAAACAAAATTTCTCTCTCTTCCATGTAAGCAAGTTAGAAAATGCCAATTTTTCATTGGCTTGGACCACTGAATCATAGATGGGCCTAGACCATATTAAATATTTCCGCGAGGGACATCCCATTACAATCTATAATGTCAAGTTACCCATTTGATATTTGCCACTTGTTTTCATAAACTACTTATATGGCTTCGCAGGTTCAACATGCATTTTCTGATCTAGAGAGGTAATCTATTTCTTTCTTTTTGGCTCCATTAAGGTTGCGCAGTTTCATTTCATGTCTATTATTCTAAATAATTTCCTTTGTGTATAGCTCTTGTCATATTGACTGCATGACAAATGAATTTTTGGAAAGAAACTCATTAATCAAGTCTTTCGTGGTAGTATAATTCTGTGGTGATATCAAAACATGTTTGGTTCCAAAGTTTCTTTCCCTTATATTCTAAACTATATTTGAACTCTTATTTGCATATCAAGCAACATCTGCTTTGTTTGTTTTTCCATTTTGGATGGATGAGTTATAACACTTGTTATTGGGTTCATTGATGTAGGGGTCGTGGTTTTCTTGTTCCTGATGACGTATATGAGGTATATTTTAAGAATTATTCCGGCAATGTCTTAAATTACACTATGTAAACACCGTTACTTGTCACTGTTGAGGTTATAGCTCTTAAAACTACTCCCCAGGCTGTACAAACAAAATGTTAAGTTCCTTTGTGGTTGTATGATGGTGGATGTTCTCCTCTTACGTTGGTGTCCTTGCTTTATCTTTTTTTATTTTTTTATTAAGGATATAAGAATATTATTGATGAGAGTCTAGATATCTCTGCTTATACTACATAATATTCTCCCTTGCAACTCATCTTGATGAATTGCTATATATGTTTTCAGGCTTTGATAAAAATTGGTTTCATGCTGGATTCTCCTGCTTTTTACTCTGTCTGTGAGGTAATAGTAATACATCTAGAGAACTTGTGCATCACAGTCAATGGTTATAGACAAAATTATGGCAAGATTCTTGTTTACAGTAGCATTATGTCCTAATTCTTTTTGTTCCTTTCTTGGGATGATTACTTGAAGATATTTTAGTGGTGAGATGGAGAAACCAATAGTGCAGTGTGTTTGACATTTAAATTTATTTGTCATTGTTTCATCGCCACCTAGAGTAAACTTTAGTTGGCCATTCATCTATGCAACATTGCAATTGAGAAGACCATGCCAAAATATTTCTCTTTGATTCTTCTCAGAGCTTTGATCAAAATAAAAATGGGAGATTTCAGCTGGATGACTTCATAGCGCTCTGTGTATTCTTACAATCAGCTCGGTATGTTTACACTTTGCACAAAATCCCGAAAAGCCTTATGCTTCTAACAGGGCCACCATTTTTTTTCCAACCTAGTATTGAACTTTCATTATATTATTCCCTATAATTTTATAATAAGAGACTTCTATTATTTCTCACAGGAATCTGTTTAATTCATTTGATACATCAAAACAAGGCAGAGTTACTCTTGATCTGAACCAGTTTGTCTATTGTAGTGAGTATACACTGAGCAACCTTATATAAATTTCCAGGTTCAAGGACCTATCATTCTGTTACATATGCAGGAATTGCAGTGGCATAAATTAAATATTTAAATTACCATTCTGTTGCATATAATTCAACTAGACTTGGTGGTTTGACATGTGACACTTTGGTTTGAGTTGCTGGGTTCAAATCCCAGCAAATGCATTTTATGATTTTGTTGTTTTTATCAACAAAGTGACTTGCCATTTGAAATGCAATTAAAAGGGAAGAAACATCAAGTTGGCAATCGGTTTTGAAAGAACCCAAAGTGCTAATTGGTTTGCCAACCAACATCAAGATGGTCATTACCCATTTATCCACTTCACATTTTATTACTCAAAACATCGTGCAGGCTGGTTTAGGCTTTTGAAGGGTAGAAGTAAAAAGTAATGCATGATCCTGGCTCTAGTGATCTAGTCCATCTGTCCATGCAATTAAGCTCTTCCTACTGTATTTCCTCAAATTGTCTCTGCAACCATTGTTCTTATAGATATAATCAATTTTTATTATCATTTGGTTTAGTACATTGCTATTATATTAACTCAGCATGTTAATTTCTGTTCTTTCTCTCTTCTCTTTTTCTTCTTGTCCAGCTGCCAATTGTAGAATATGATTTGACCATATGACTGGCTTGTGAAGATGATTCACAAATACTGCACTTTGTAAAATACCTCAAATACACTCTTAGAGTCAGTGAACTTGTGATGTAAGATGAAAACAACATTTTGAGGTTTGATACTGATTGCCATTTGTCTGCAAAATACTGTAGTGTAGATTTTTTCTTTTTGATGTTGTGATTTGTTTATAAAACTTGAGTTGTTATAAAATTCAATCGTACATGATTGATGAAGATGATTCTTAGATTTTTAGAGCCAGTTAAGTTGTAATGTCATGAGCTGGAACTAAAATTTGATAGAATTTTTAATTGCAATGTTTTCGTAGTTGTGCCAACTCTAATTTTTGGCTTCTACACAAGCTTGATGGACCATGTAAAAAAATTATAAAATTGTATATAAAAGTTGAATTGTTATAAAATTCAATCATACATGATGGACTTGGAAGATGATTCGTAGATTTTTAGAGCCAGTTAAATTGTGATGTTATGAGCTCGAACAAAATTTGATGTTTATGCAAACTCGACAAGAATTTGTTATTGCAATTTTTCGTAGTTGTGCCAGCTCTAGTTTTTGGCTTGATGGACCATGTAGAAAAATTAAGAATCGCATTGGGGTAAACTCGAGTAAGAAGAAAATCCCATGGCCAAGACGTCAGGAAAAAACAGAAGACAATAAAATCGGATGCCGGGAGGCTGGGACTCGAACAAATTATTAGTTGATTTAAAGTATATGGGGTTGGATTAATCATTTAACTCTCAGACTAATTTTGGTGAGGTGATACACGAACTGTGCGACCAGATGTATGTAAACGAGATCAATTAGGTATTTCAGGACTTCCACATTTTTTTAGAAGAAAACTTTTCTGAAGTTAATCTTCATGATATCTGAATTGTATGATAGGAAATAATAAATCAGCCAGAAAAAAAGTTGTTAGAAGGCACCAATCCGTTCGTTTTATTGTTTACGGTTAAGCATTTAGTGTGTTGCTTTTGTAGCCGTTCGAGCATTCAAATATCTCTTTCGTTGCTTTTACCTTGGCAGAAAAAGAGAAAGGATAAGCAATGTCCATAAAGTAATTCCGTGAAAAGCAACGAAAATGTTCCAACATTACTCACTCCACACCAATCCGTGAAAATCATGTATGAATCTACTTTTACTGTATGAATTCATTTTTTGTTGTCTGTGTGGTTGTCAACAACACTCAGCACCAAGAGGTGAGGAGAAAGAGAAATATTATCTTCTCTTTATCCACTCGTTTTCATCCCCTGGGTGTTTTATACAGTAGAGAATAAATCAATTTGTTTTCTAATAAAAACTCTAGTCATCCGCATCCCTCTTAAGATAATTGAGTAACAGGGATTTTATGTAACCTTGAAAAACTAAAGAACAGATACAGACCATAAAAAAAGATGAAAAGGTCCTTCAAGAGTAAAAGACTTTTAAGACTTTGAAAGCCGCAACTTCTGTTGCTAGGTTTAGTACAAGCAAACAAATCCTCAAAACCATGGCGGTTTGTGAAAATGTGCATTAGAAACTATCTGTTCAAGTGCATTTCCTTAATTACTGTCCAGTAGAAACAGGGCTGGTTCTATTTTTGCTGCACAACCATACTTCCACGTACTGTACTTCCTATATACTCCTGTAAGTTTCCCTGATCCAGCTTTCCGATGGAAAGTAACCATCAGCCTTGAGCATTCTCTGACAGCACACGCAAGAATAATAATTACTATTTATGTCATCATACTTAAAGAAAAGATTCAACTAGACATTGCAATAACAACTCACAGGAGCTTCTCTTCGGAGTATTCAGTATACCACTCGCTGGTCTTAGTCCATTGCTTAAACTGATACAGACTACATTGAGCTGTGTAAACGGCTGCAGCAGCTAGCAAAGATGGCGAAAACTCTAGCATTTTGTATTCCACCAAGCAAAGCTCGATCAAGAAGGAGGACAAGAGCTCCAGCTGGTACAATTCCACAAATCCTATAGTCATTGGTTACTTCAGTTATAGAGTTTACCTTTGCAAAACAATGTTACATTACTCACCTTTTTGTCAGAATGAGCTGCCTTAAGAAATCTTCTCATGAACACGTATGGAGTAGGAACAGACAAATTGAATTGCAAGATGTTCACCATTAACTTCTCCTATTGGCACGTGCTGATTAGATGCATTCCAAAAACTAAAGGGAAAGAAAGAAAGGATAGCAATGTACAAAATTGGCTTACCATTTTTAAAACTTCATTTCTTGTATATGCCTTGTCTGTTATCAGAATAAAATCCTCAACGGTGGGGACTGAGACCTCCTCATACTTACAAGCTATTAGCATGGCTGTTACACCGACCAACTGAAGCTTTTTTCTGATCACAGCTTGACGCTCCATGAACCTGTCTATGAGATTGACAGTAAGGAACAATGTCTCCTCCAAAAGCTCAAATTTGTAGTGAACCTGTTTGATGAGGTCAAGTTTGACCATAAGTTTAGAGAAGCTTAAACTTCAACACTTTAAAGGATTTCCGTTTCAAATAGGCTTATCACACATTCACATGGACCCAAGACATAAATCATGTACCTCAATAAGCCAGTCAATAAGAATGGCCCTCATCTTCTCTTTAATGTCAAACTGACTACTCAAGTAATTTGAAGAGGCGCGGCTAGAATTCTGCAAAAGAACTAACGAGTCAACATGCTACGAGTCCTTCCTTCAGATTTTTCAGTCAGTCAGTTAACCATTCAAACCATGGCCTAAAAGTTGAGTCTCGTTTCACATTTTTACATTCTGATCTGCATACGAACACTCTAAAGGCAGTAGTAGGAACTAAGAAGTCTGCCTCGTTTCATGTTCTGATCGACAAAGCAATTTATAAAGAGGGGTTGGGGGGAAAGCATCCTATGGCTGTCCAAAATCAACAAGAAGAAGTCTAATTTAATTGTGTAACATTAAAGACAGGTTGTTTAATAAGAACTAAAAAGCCGAGACTTTTAATATTGGCATCATGACATGGTCTTAGTTGATGATGCAACATCCTATTATAAGAAGCCTGGATGTTTCCAGGTGTAGGAAACTGAAGGTCTGACCTATTTTTGATAACGAGCAAGTCCCACAACAAATTCAAATTTACCTCAGTTTTCCTATAAAAACAGTAGATATCATCTATGTACTCAACAACTGCAAGTGGATCATTCCTATCACAGGCGTCGATATCCATAACAGGTTCGTCCATATCTTCCATTTCAATTTCCTCCTGACAAAGATCAGATGCAGTGCAGCACACCACATTATGTTATTCTGCCATAAAAGCATATCACGCAAAGATAACAACACATGATAAGTTACAACAACACTCACAATTCTGTCAATTTCGTCCAACATTGCTTCAGTGTGCTTCACAAATATTGGAACTGCATTATCACTGGCATCCTCGTATTCATCAATCTCTACGATGGCAGAATCTAAGTGGTAACAGGGGGTCAGGGCCAACGGATTCTGTTTCTTAGTTTCCTAATAACGTAATCAACCCAATAGGTAATTGTTCAGTGTTTATTCTAAAATTTTGTTTTTGTGTGTGTGTGTGTGTGTGGGGGGGGGGGGGGGGGGGGGGGGGGGGGGGTTATGGAACAAACACATCATCCACATCTGTTTATAGAGAGAGAGAGAGAGTACTTGAGGGTAGTGCTGAACAGTCTGTGCTGTACACTTCCTGAAAAAAAAAAAAAAAAAATCAATGACGGGGATCAGAGGTTATAAGGAGAGGGAGAAGGATAGAGGTGGAAAACTTTCAATTGGTCCTAAAACCTTGACGAATTATATAGCAATTTTAATAAAATTAACGGATGTAAGAAAAAGAAAAAGAAAGGAGAAAAACATGACTGTGATTTTAAATTGAAGCATAAACAAACATATACCAGGAAAGATCTACTTTGCTGACAACACAGGGCTTTTTGTTATCCATAATATTCTGATTGATGTTGCTGAGAGGCAGCCGGTGATGGAGTGCCGTCTCCTTCACGAGCTTGACACCCTTCATTCTTGAATCGCCTTTGTAATTCATGGATGGAAATGAAGATAACGAGGGAAATGAATCTCATATTCAATTTTCTTTACTAGTCAATATAATTAAGCTGCAAAGATAATAATAAAAAAAAGAAAGAATAACTATTATCTTCTTTTGAAGTTTAAGATTAACCTTGAAGATTTGAGGAGGGCATGATCGATGGAGACGGAGCGAGATGGTTTTCCTTTGAGCCCTCCATCTCCATTAATGTATACAGTCAAACCAAAAGCAAGAGATAGAGGGCAAGGGGAAGACAAAGAAACTGAAAAACAAAAAACACAGAAAACTTGGAAATGGAAAAAGAAAAAAGAAAAAGAGCCAAGAACTATAAAAAGAATTGTAAGAAAAAATCAAGATAATTAAACTGAGGAGCCGGGTCTCTTACGAGTAGGGGAAGAGGAAGAAGAAGAAGAAGAGCGCTTTGGGTGGGAATTCAATCTGAATGACAGCACACTCTGAAAATAAAAAGGGAAGGAACGATGAAAAAGCTATTTTCTGACGCGTTGCCTTTCGGACGCTTCGTTATTTAAAAATAACGGCTACTAAATTGTAGCCGTTGGATCTCTGAACCCATGGTTTGAGCCACCTAACCCTGTCACCACAATTTGGGGTCTATGACGAGGGCATTTTCGACCCAAAATATTATTACGGTGGAAAAAAAAAATACCATACGTAGGATAGTATTATTTTTTAGAAATGTGTAGTTAAAAATAAAATGATGAAAAAAAGTATCCTAAAATTATTTTCATTTTTATTTATACAAAGGGAAAAGTGTTTGTTATTTTAAATGATATAAAGTTATGTCATTTTAAGAGAGAGATAGACACAAAATAAAATTTTTATTTAAAATTTAAATTAAAAAAAGGTTTAGTATTTGTCATTTTAAATATTATAAGTTATGTCATTTTAAATGTTATAAGTTATGTCATTTTAAGAGAGAGATAGACACAGAAAAATAGAAATCATGGGAGAGAGAAAGTAGGTGATTTTTTTAATTTAAAATTTAAATAAAAACTTTTTTTTTTGTGTTTGTCTCTCTCTTAAAATGACAGAGTGTTATGTCATTTAAAATGACAAACATTTTTCCCAAAAAAAAACCATCAACTTTCTCTTCCCATAATTTTTATTCTTTGTGTCTATCTCCCTCCTAAAATGACATAACTTATTTTATTTAAAATGACAAACATCAAACCCTTATACTAAATATGGGGAAAAAAAATTCCCAACAATTCAACCAAAAAAATTATATCAAACACCCCTACAAGATAAGTTTTCTATGCTGCAACTTTACACATTTCTATTTTAAAAAAAAAAGTACACATTTTTAAATTTGGTTATATTTAATTATATTTATTTTAATTATGTAATGATTATTCTTAGTATTTGTTTTAGGGCTTTGCATTTCTTCATCCACCGAACATCATCGTTTTTCCTGCAGAGAGTAAACAATATGGGACCCACCAGATTTTGTAAAAAATAAAATAAAAAATGTTTGACACGTTTCTCGAAGTATGAGTGACAGAAGATTAACACATTCCTGTTACATAAGAATTGATTTTGCATTTGTTTTAATTAGTTATTACTTGTTAGATGCAATATTTTTTTATGTTATTATAAATATTTGACATGTGTAATTAGATAATAATTAGATATTTAGATAATAATTAGATAACACAAGCATGTATAATGTTAAGATATTTAAATATTGGGAATAACATCTGTCATTTTAAAAGATATAAGCTTATATTATTTTACATCCTAGACGTTGATTTTCGTCCATCAACGGTTATAATTTATTGGATCAAAATTATTAATTAATTAATAATAAATTTGGCCCATTAAGTTTAACCCAATAGATTATAACCGTTGATGAACGAAAATTAACGGTTAGGATCTAAAATGATATAAGCTTATATCCTTTAAAAGGATAGATGTTTTTCCCTTAAATAATAATTAGAAAAGTATCTAATTAGATAATAATTAGATAACACAAACATGTGAAGTGTTTAGATATTTACATAATAATTAGATATTTGACATGTGTAATTAGATAATTACATAATTTTTAGATAATTACATAATTAGATATTTAGATAATAATTAGATAACACAAGCATGTATAGTATTTAATATTTAAATAATAATTATATAATTAGATAACACAAGCATGTGTAGTGTTTAGATATTTACATAATAATTAGATATTTGACATGTGTAATTACATAAATAGATAATATTAAGATAATAATTAGATATTTGACTTGTGTAATTAGATAATTAGATAATATTTATATAATTAGATAATAATAAGACATTTAGATGATATTTAGATATATTCTAACACAAGCATGTGTAATTAATTATTTTCAGATATTTGACATAATAATTAGTCATTGAGTAATTTTTAGTTTTTTAATAATATAATTTAGAAAAATTGATTTGTGATTAGTACTTAGGATTTATTTAAATTAGTAAATAGTTGTTATAATTTTTAAATTAATTCTTTTGTGTTATCCTAACATAGACATGTGTTGTGTAATTATTTTTCTTGATCAGAAATGTTGTGTAATTAATTATATGTAGAGATTTTACATAATGCTTAGTGGCATAATTTAGAATAATTGATTTGTGATTAATATTAGAATTTCTTTTAATTAGTGAATTGTTGTTATAATTTTTTAAATTAATTATTTTGTGTTTTCATATTATAGTTCGTTAATAACGTTATTTATATTATTGTTGTTTAGGGAAGGCACACGACGATTCATCTGAGAGACGTCTTCGTCTCGGTCCTCGCGATAATTTTGTATTATTCATGCAATCTAGACACAGTTCAGAGGTTGCCTGCATGGAGGAACCTGATTATAAGTCTCTGACTATTAGAAGTGGAAGACTAGCGGAGTTGGATGTTATTCCAGAGCCCATTGTGCCGTCGTTCCGATTTTCTTGGCGCTGCTCGAATAGGTCGTGTGGAGGTATTTTTTATGCTACATATATAAAATTAATAGTAAAAAAATTATCAAACAATTTATTTGATTTATTTTGATTAATGTTTTTTCGTTTGCAGATCGATAGTTAATTGGTCACAACTCTAGTTAAGCGATGAAGACTGGAGACTCATACATTTCATATACTTCCAGGAAAGGTTACCGTGACACTCGAGGATGTTGCAATGATCATTGGTCTTCCTACAGACGGTGAACCTGGTATGTCTAAAACACAAGATTTGATATGTTTGGTTCCACAACTTCTTGGGAGGACCCCGAGTGCATCTGATCTGAAGGGTGGTACTCTTGAGACTTCATGGTTGGATCGATATTTTGCAAATGTCGAGGATTGGATGTAGGATAAAGAAGGTCTTGTCCGCTTCACGCGAGCGTACATATTACACCTTATTAGAGGCTTTTTACTTGCAGATCACAATGGCGATATCTACCTTTTCTTAATGACTTGGAGGAATATGGACAATATAGCTAGGGATCGGCAATGTTAGCCTTCCTTTATCGGGAGTTGGGGTGACATTTTGGACATTATTGGTGTCCACATCAGAATCAAAATCACTACCCTCAGGAGGAACTTCTTCTTATACATCTTAGAAATCTGTAGGATGATCAGGTACAGATTTAGAGCGCGTCTGCCGGGGAATGGTGGATGAGCTTCCCATAGCAGAGATTCAATAGAGAGAGCATAAATCAGATCAAATACACAGCCACACACACTAGGAAACGGTAATCAACAACAATCAGCAGAACAAAAGACAGCCACCAAAGATTCAAAGTTGCAAAGGAAATGAGGAAATGCACTAATACAACAACCATCAATGGATCAATTTGCAGGAGAATGATAGACTAAAATAATCACACAAAGTAGAATAATCAAACAGAAATCGTGCTACAAGGAGAAACCAACCAGTAGTTAAGAAGAGAAAAAAAATTGAGCCATAGATCACAGGCCAAATTAAAAACAAAGTGAAACGAAAGGGAAATATCGAACCAAACCAAAACAACCAGGAGAAATTCGAGCCAAAATACCTCACAAGGAAAGCTGGAAATCGTGCTCCAAAAATACGGGTTTGAGGAAGAGGAAACCTAATTAAAGGGCCAAGAAATAAGGGATGAATCTGGTTTAAATGATGAGGGTTTGGTTTCAGACACTTAGAAATGGTATGAATCAAAAGGTTGAGGGAGTAATTTAGGTGGATTAGGAATGAAGGGGAGTTAGGGTTTGAGTGAAATAATTTGGGGGAAACGATGAACAAGGACGAGAATGATAGGGAAAAGGAGGAAAATGAAAGAAATTAATGGATGGAGATGATGTGTAGATGAAAGACGAGTTTGTGATTGGAGGATATGGAGATGAGGTGTTGAGGGTGATGAAATGAGGAAGAAGACACAAGTAATCGAATAAAAATGCATTACAGAGCAATAAATGCAGAAGTATTCGACTATTTTTCGAGGGGTATTCGAATATTGTCTGCAAAAAGGAAGTATTCGAATACTTTTCATAAAGTAGTTGGATACAACTTAGCACGGACACACGATTTCTTTTAAAAGATGCTTGTCGGACACTGACACGCGTCCGACACGTTGTCAACATTTTGGACACGCGGTCAACGCTTCGACATGTTCCGATACGCAATCAACTTTTTCCGACACGCTCCGCCACTTTTTTTTATGTCTTAATTTTATTTTATTAACTAAATATAAAAAAATAGTTTATAATCAATTTTTTTCTGTTATAAAATTTGACATGAAAAATTAACAAGGTACGAATTTTTTTGTGTTTATATTTATATTATAAAATTTGAATATTTGATTGGTTATATGACTTATTATGGGCTGTTATATGTATTAAATATAGATTATATTATATATATTAAAAATATTATTTAATATCAAAACGTGTCGCAACGTGTCGAAATATGTGTCCTAATGTGTCGTGTCGTGTCCCGTGTCAATGTCGGTGCAACATAGGTTGGATACTTTCACTCAACAGGTAAGTATTCGAATACTTATATGGAACTAATCGAATACTATTATGCAAAAGGCAAAAATTTCGAATACAGATCATGTAAATTGTCAATTCTCATACCAAACATGTTGAAAAGTAAGTCAAACAATGTCACATGATGATAAACTATATATGTAGTGACTTGTTGACTCTAAGCCATGTAAATCACATCAAAATTCATACTAACATGAGTATGATCGAATTTTTGCATTAGAGCTTGAAAATGCTCAAGTTACCTCATTCTAATGGTTTCCTAATTTATCAAGCACATAAAGTACCTGCAAAAAAAGTTTAGGGAAATCTCAATGCTCAAGTTAGTGATCAAGTTTACGAATGGATCAAAGCATACACATTTACAAGTATGGTGGATCAATTAAATCAATTTATCTTCTCAAATTATAAAACACTTCCCTTGGGTGGGGTTTGATAAAAATATCAACCTATTATTTTGAGGATTCCACAAATTCCAAAACATAATCACCATTTTGCATATGATCTCTAATAAAGTGATGTCGAATATCAATATGCTTAGTTCTTGAGTGCATTATGGGATTCTTGGTGAGGTTGATGGCACTAGTGTTATCACACCTAATAGGGATATAATCAAGTTCAACCTCAAAGTCTTTAAGTTGTTGTTTCATCCATATGATTTGTGCACAAGAACTATCGGCCGCCACATATTCGGCTTCAGTCGTGGACAAAGCCACACTATTTTGTTTCTTGCTATGCCAAGAAACTAAAGAGCAACCAAGAAAGTGGAAAATGCCACTAGTTCTCTTCCTATCACATTTGCATTCCGCGAAATTAGAATCAGAATAGCCAATTAACTCACATGGTGCACCCTTAGGATACCATAATCCCATTTGTGAAGTGCCTGCAAGATATGTTAATTAATTCTTTTGAGATTATATATGAGTTGCACAAGCATAATTTAGCAAGATAAAAGTCTGTTATAGATCTGAGAGGATACTAAATATTATCATAGTTAATATATAAATCTATGATATGTACGTTCATTATAGTCTATGGAATAGATGTCGAAAAGGGTGTCAGGTCACTGGACAGTAAGAGGAACAAGGTTGAAGGATGTATATATATGCACAATAACATTAATAAAAATTGGGATTAGAAAGTGTTTACTTGAGACGTTTAACCCACCATTTATAGACATGATTACTTGTAAGTGTCAGAATATAAGAGTCAAACTATTGGGGTTCCTGGGGAAAACATGCTAGACCTCATCGATTAATAATAATAGACGATGAGCGACCTACGAATTAGATGAGAACAATTGGATTCATACTTAAAATGGTCAAATACGAAGGTTATGGTTAAATCAGTGTTAAAAACTCGGCCTGGCTATCGACTTAGCCGAGGTCAAGGGTCATGGATTTATTTGCTGGGGGGGGGGGGTCAAAAGATCACTTTGTTGACCCGATTTTATATATTAAAAAAATTAATATATATCTTATATGAAAAATTCAAAAAAATTAAACTGTCAATCATCAAATATTCAAAATATACTTAACATAATTCAACCAATTACATCCACAAGTCAATATTACACAAGCTAATCAAAGTATAAAAATATCAAACTATAAAACACATATTCCGATAGAGTTAATGAGAAGTTATATCATCAAATTCAGGTCCTCCTTAAGAAACATTACTTTCATTTCGGGGTACAATGGCCATATGCGGTTCATCATCTACATCATCCAGGGGTGGCGCGACAGAGAGGGAAGACTGAAGAGGCGGAGCCGCGGAGGAGAGGAGGAGGAACTACCACGGTGAAGACGTCTGGGAGAAAAGAGAAAAGAGAAAATTTAATTTTGTTCTTCACTTTCGGATTTCAGATTTTGGTTAGTAGAGATTTTTTTTTTTCACAAAAAGACTTCGTTTTGTGTGAATTTTTTTTTCTTAAAAAAAATGTAGTGAACCCTATGACCAAGGAGTCATGGAGACCCGACCGAGTTTCGTAGGTCAGAGGGGTCAACGTGCATCCAAGATCTAACTGCTGACACCAACGCTCAGAGAGAGGAGGTCACGGTTGACCCGAGATTCTGGGCGAAATTTTAAAACATTGGGTTAAACCACTCTATGTTGCACCGACACAGATAATGGGATACGACTCGACACGACACGCTGACATGTTCTAAAATTTCGACACATTAGGATATGTTTTGATATTAAATAATATTTTAATATATATAATATAGTTTATATTTAATATATATAACAGCTTATAATAAGTCATATAATTAATCAAATATTGAAATTTTATAATATAAATATAAAGCAAAAATAATTTTTCATGTTTTGTTATTTTTTATGTCAAATTTTATAATAGAAAATATTTGGTTTATAAATTAATTTTTCATGTTTAGTAAAAAGATAAAATAAAATAAAATTTGGATCTTAAAAAAAAAGTGTCCGAAAACATTGACTAGGTGTCAGAAAACGTTAATCGCGTGTCAGTGTCGGAATATTGATTGAGTGTTGAACATGTATCAAAACATGTCGATGTCCAACACATGTCTGACACAAAATTTCCATCCAAAAAATGTTTCGGTGCTTTATTAATGTAACATTCTTAAAGCCTATTATAGATTACATTAAATATTAAGTTACAAATCTCTTACTTATTTTATCTTTTTATTAACTTTTGAATAATTGTGTGTTATAAAATTCAAATAAAAAATGTAATTTAAAATTTATGTTAACTTTTACAAGACTATAAAGTATAAAGTATTCATATACTAGTTAGATCCTAAAGTCTTAACCATGTTTCACATTTTTTTAAAAATTGAAAGAGGACTATAAAGTATTCATCTTTTTAATTACATTATTCCTATTAATAAAGGGGTTTGATTTTTTCATGTTGCATGAGAATTAAATTCTCATGTTGTGACTCAACTAGTAGTGGGCTTCACATTTATTAAAAAAAAAAATAAAAAAAAAATTTACACACAAATCAAAGAATCACAATATGAAAATTGAATTCTCCTAGAAAATATTTTTCTACTAATAAAAGCTACTCCGCTCAACAAATGTAAATGTTGACTCTATAAGAATTAAATTTCGGTGAAGATATTTTGGTAAATGATTACTGTTAATAATTAATGGAACAGTGGCTAAAACTACAAATAAATAATGGAAGTTGGTGTTAATAATTAATGAAACAGTAGCTAAAACTACAAATAAATAATGGAAGTTGGAAGTTTAAATAGAAGTGGGGCAGCGGGCCACGGCCCACAGGGTGTGTGTGAGGGAACTCGCGCTAACCTCTTACTTCGGTTCCGCCACTCTTTCTCACAGCAACCACGCCGTCACTCTCACCGAAAGCTGACGTCATGTTGTAGACCTCTTTCAGGTTCTCTCTCTCGCGTTAGCATTTTTTATTTTCAAAAACTCTGATTGCTTTTGGTTAAATGTATAGTGATAGATTACTAATTGAAAGAATAATTGAGATGAGATTTCTCACGCGCCATTCTATCCATGGAGATAGATTGAAGTAACAAAGAATAATTATAATACTTAGAGGGAAAAATAGAACGATAAATTACATTACATACTAATAATGCTTGCTTATGATCACGCGTGTTTGATGGTAGAAACACAGCACATTTTGATTTCGTGTTTTTGGCCTCAATACCTACCTAATAATGCTTGGATGGATCTGTTCTTGGGATGTAGGCCTAGGGCTTCCATCTGCAGAGCAAAGAACCACGAGGATAACTAAAACACAGCCAAAATAGATGGAAAAAAACTTATGTTTTTTATACAATCTTATTCCTCCTGTTACAGCCAATAAACCCTAAGTAAAAACAACTACAGTTACATGTAGCAATAGCGCCCCCAACATTTAACAGTAATTGATCCCATTAGTCAGCATCGTCGAGTCTCGTCTTTTAAGAGTTATAAAGTATACAGAGGTCATCTCCCTATGCCTGGATTCCTAGTTTGAGGGGTATGGTTTGTGAGGCAGCTACAGTTGCTGTTTTATATCATTTGATTTATTAATTCTCATTAAATACTCTGATTCACTTGAAAAAAGTACTTCACCCAACTGGTTTAGTACCTAGAATCTCACTCTTCACCTCTATTCTTAAAAGGTAAAATTCACCTTCAGAGCAAAGAGATAAAAAGAAAAAATCAGCATATTATTGCTTGCGCGTTGTTTAGTTGTTCAGCCTGGTTAGGTGGAATGAGGGTTTGATAAACGGTCCAAGGAGGAGAGACCAGATATGATGGAACCAGGTCTCCCTGTGGATGGTCTGATGCGAAGAAGTTGTGGTTTCCACTGTGTATTAAGGTGGAGTAAGAGAGTGGGTGTTCACCTACAGAGTGCAAGGGCATGTGCGATAAGCATAGAGAGAGGGAAATAAGCTAAAAGGTTCAAAGGTCCTGCCCTAAGACATGAAATGTGCTTATATAGGTGGTTGTGAGGAAGTGCATGCAATTGAGTGAGCGGTTACTGCTGATGAGTGAGTAATGTACTTCCAATCATGGGGAGAATCACGTATAGGTAATGAAAGGTGATTGTACAGAGAGGGGTAGAATATTGGCGATGTGGACGTTTTGTCTTCTGGTGGGAGAGGTGAATGGGAAGCATAAAGGGACCCATAACACCAGTTCATAACATTAGTATATCAGTCAACTTAGACATTTGTTACTTGATGCCTGTATGCTTTCAAATTTCCCAGTTTTCTCTAGCAAAATAAAATTTTCCCAATTTTCATTGTTAGGTACATTGAAATCTTGACAATTCATAGTTATATCTTCTTGTTGGGTCTTTTACCTTGAATTGATTTTTCGGTTGAAATGATCTTGAAACTTGACATGACTCTATAATTTTAACTGTCATTGATTTTAGAGTTACTTAATAAGAATTCTTGAACGACTGCTTATATTTTGTTTCTCGTTATTAAAAATAGCCTTCTAGTATGTGTCATATAATTCCCTCTTGTGTCCAAGCTTGCGGAAGTCATGAATTTGCTTAACCTTGACTTTATGTGCATATATTGTTCAGGCTCTCATACCTTAGATGAGTCAAAAGTACCCTTCAACTGACAGGGTTTAATCTTGTTATCAGATTTTGATGATACTCTCAATTTTTTAGGAGTTTTTTCCATAGTAAAATTGGGTTATTTTTGCCAATCTAAAATAGTTGTCCCCTACAAGAATCAGGAGGAGACTCGGATATCAAAGGGGATTTTACCCTATAAACAAGAAATTCATTATCGTCAGAAGTGACTTATATGTGAAGATTGTAGACTTAAGGAAAGTCTTATACGAAGTCTTACAGAGCATGTGGTTTATCGTGGAAAGTGGCAGATAGGACTTGTTTCCAGAAACAACATATTTCCATTTCCATTGCATAAAATATAGTTTTTTTTTTTTTAATTTAAAATTTGACCACTATTCTGGCAGCTACACGCTACCTAATATCTAGCTTTTCAGGACAGCTGGAGATGGTTCAACAAGGTATAGATTCCAAATTTTGTGAGTATAGTCGAAGCAATTCTGAATGGACTTGCCTAATCGCGATAAACTACCTGTTGCTGTGAAGAAGACAGCATTGACAGATCTGCATAATGATAATAAAATCATGGTGCCAACCTCTGTTGGAAGCTCTTCACTTTTAAAGGATAAGGATCCTGATACTGATTCTAATAGAGTTTCTGGCGCAAAGAGACCATCACTTGACTACCCAGTGAACAACCACCTCCAACAATCTCCAGGCAATAATACGGCTAGTGGACATCTTGTGTATGTCCGTAGAAAATCAGAAGCAGAATTGGGCAAGAGCAGTGCTTGTGAAAATCCAAGTATTAATCCCTATTGTCCACATTCGAGGCAACTTTGTTGTGAAGAGGAGACAGCTCAACCAAAACCTCATATAAAGGAGGCCAAGGTTTCTGGTTTCCCAGCATTTGCACCTTTTCCTATGGCTTCTTCATTGGGCTCATCTGGAAAGCCTTCAGTTCCTATTTCTCTTGGGAAGTCTGCCATGAAGTTAGCACCTGTTGAGTCCAATTATGTGACAGCTTCTTCTGGCCCTACCATTCGTAATCCAAAGCGATTAAAAAATGTGCACTGGGAGGAGCGATACCAACAACTGCAGATGTTTTTGACGAAATTGGACCAATCAGACCAAGAAGAATATATCAAAAGTATGTCCAGGAACAATAAAATAATCCCTCACATGCTTTCTTATGAAATTCTTGATATTTTATATGGCTGATGTTGTCCTTTGGCAGTGCTTCATTCCCTGTCCTCAGTTGAACTTAGTAGACATGCTGTTGAGTTAGAGAAGAGATCAATTCAGCTTTCACTAGAGGAAGGTAATGGAATAGTTGTTTTGCGTGTTTCCTTTCATAATCGTGGGCTTAGATATGATGCTTACTCAATGTCTACTGGATGTGGGGTGTGGAGTTATTATGCATTGGCTCAAATCCTATGACTATTCACTACAACCATGCTTGTGGTAATTTAATCACTTTGATGTCATTTACTGCTGCCATGCCTGGGAATTCATCTGCCTTTGATGTATTCTGTTACTTGTTTATGTTTAACAGTTTGTGGCCTTTGTTACTTGTTTATTAATTTGTTTTCTCTCTATTTACTGAAACTTAATGCTTTATAATTTATTTCCCCTCCCTATCTTGCTTCCGGCTATATTTGATGCTTGGGACTTGAGAGACAACAGTCAGAACTTAGATGTTCAAGTTTTGACAGATTCACTTTTTGTTCTTGGTAACATTAAAAAAAGAAAAGAGGATGAAAGACAAGCTTCAATAGTACAATTTGCATATCATGCTTATGGTCACGAGTCTGGGTGGTAGGATGTGAAAATTATATATTTACATTTTGTCAGTCAGTATCCCCAATCTGCTTGCATGTGTTGAGATTCTCTGTGATTATTTCCTTTCTTAATTTGATTATCTTAGTTGTAAGGTCAAATTTAATTATGGAAATGATTGAATGTGATTGTATAGCTTCTTTTCTTTCCTAGTTTGATTGCTTAGCTGTAAAGTCAAACTTAATTATGGAAATAATTGGGTGTGATTGACTTAATTATAGAGATAATTGGGTGTGATTATAAACGTGAGTAATTGTATAGCGTAATTAGAGGAAATCCTCCCCTATGTATTGCTTGTTTATACAAAATCATCACGAATGACAAAAAAAATTATTTATCATCGTTTTAAAGTGCATATATGATATATCTATATCTATAGAAATACGTTCAGCAACTGGTTGTGTTTTTAGTTTTAGCAAACGAGATATATTTTGAGACAACAGCAAGCTGATGATTTTTGTCTCACATATTCTCCTTGATAACAGCGAAAGAATTACAGCGTGTTGCAATTTTAAATGTCTTGGGAAAATCAGTGAAGAACTTCAAAGCACCAGCCGATTATGACGAATGTTCAGATAAGTTGAAGACATCATCATGATCTTCCAGCCCTTTCGGCTGCAGTAAATTTCCGCACGCAGTGGAAACTTTCTGTTTGTTAATTGTGCGTATTGTTTATCCTGATTGTTATATAATCTTATTGTTGTCCAGTTGACTAAGAAAGTGTCTCGCACCTCTTGGTTATGAAATTAAAAAACTGGGTTCGATAGCCACTTGTGCTTCTTGTACAGTTCGTCTACCCTTGTTTCTTTCTGTTTATCCTTGCAGTTCATCAGAATATACATTCTTGCGTTGCATCCTAATATAAATTACGTCAGCCTTAGCCGTTAGCGTTACCCATGTTCATATCTAGTGTAAGCAGATATTTATCGTAATGGAACACATTCAGCAATCAATCGATAATTAGTGACGGAGAAGAAGTAATCAGTTAGATTATTTTATTTTGACATAAAGGAACTGGTTTATTGACCAACTAGAACCTAGTCTTTGGCAAGGGTAGAACAATTAGATTTTTATTCAAAATGCTTTTTCTAAAATGATTTTTTTTTTCTTTCTAAAAATAATTTAAAAAAATCGAAACATTTTAATTACGTTTTCGTGTGATCTAGGGCCGCACTGCAAGTTAGTAATGGGTATATGCTTATAATACAGCCAGGCTTTGGGCCAGAAGGTGGAAGCTTTTGGGTTGGACAACTTGTTTAAGAGCAGGCTTATTACTATAAATTAGATTCCCTTTTTAATTTCTTGCGATGAATCAAATTCATAACAAAATAACAAGAAAGCAAAAGATATTATATACTTATGGCATTTTGTGAGATAATGTCCATGCGATATAAGTTTTTGTAATTTCACGTTTATTAAATACGTTTAAATTTTATGAATATATTTGAAATTTGAGATTATTAATTTTGACATAAAATATTTTTATTTTTTTAAACCCAAGATGTATCACCCCTCAACCATCTCTATCCGTATTACTTTCCGAGTACGGATGTAAAAATAGCTCTTTATTAGAAGGGACGGTAAAATTGTCTCCTATGGAAGTTAAGAGTGTAATTGTCTGTTCGGGTTGTTCGGGTGTGATGTATAAGATTTGATAGTATAAGCTTATATTATATGTTATTGTATTTTTAGTTGTTTGGTGTGATCATCGTATAGTATAAGCTTATATAGCAGAATCTCTTGACACATCAAAATGATGTATAACTTAATCCGGCCTAAAGGATGAAATTAAGCCTGATAAGGGGTTAATGTATTAACATTGCTGACCAATGTAATTCTCAAAAATTAATATATTATTTTAATATAATATATTAAAATAAAAATTAATTTTTCAATATATTTATTTTTAAAATATTGGAGATTTTTATTTTTATAAAAATTAATATATTTTTCGGACACACTCATGAATAGATTTTTATAAAAATAATATCATATTACATATTTGGAAGAATTATATAAATTCTTTATTAAAGGATATTTTTATCAAAAATATTTATTTTTATCCTATCTAGTATTATACAATGCATTACCAAACACTAAATGATATTATATTATACAATATATTATTTTATACAATACCATGTCAAACGTTGGATAATATTAAAATTCAATCAGGTCTTATACAATCAGACTTTATACTTTCATGTCTATATTGTCATGCCTTATCCTATACTGTACACCAAATATGCCCTAAATGTTCCTTTTTAGACGCGAAGGATCTTTCTAAGAATCGAACCTGAGATTTGACACACATGGTTAACCATGTCTGTTAGGGCATGTTTAGTATGATGTGTACAGCCTGATATTATAAGCTTAAATTATACGTTATAATATTTTTAGTTATGGTTCGTTTTTTCTACGATCAATGTAGATAACTTATCTACAGTGAGCCCAAAACGACGTCGTTTTGAGGCAGAAATCAAGGTATTCTTGTAATTATAATTTATTTCAAGATTATAATAGTCTTTTTCATTATAATTTTTTAATTTTTCAACCCAAAACGACGTCATTTTGAGAGCAAATGTAGATAACTTATCTACAATCACTTTAGAAACATTAAAGCCTTTTAGTTATTTTGTGTAACACCGTATAGTATAAACTTATACAGCAGGATTCTTTAATACATCAAACGTATACACAAAAAGGTGGAACACACATTTTTATTTTTATTTTTGTCTTTATTTTTTAGTAGGACCCACATCTCTACGTATCTATCTCTCTCTTAAGAGTACTTCACATTCTATCATGTAAAAGCGCACACATCTTTTTTCGTTAGATTAATCCCCTCTTATTTTTATTCCAGGAAGCGTGCTCACAGCACCACCTTTGGGGCGGGGGGCAAGGAATAGTTGGAAGGGCTATCACAACCACCAAACCTTGTTTTGCAAATGACATAACAGCATTCACCGAGGCTGAATACCCTCTGGCTCTTGATGCTAACATGTTTGGGTTGCATGCTGCTGTGGCCATTCCCTTCAGGAGTGTCTACGCCGAATCAGCTGATTTTGTCTTAGAATTTTTCCTGCCAAAGGATTGCCATGACAGCCAAGAGCTGAATTCAATATCTATGCTGGTACAGCAAGCTTGCCGGAGTTTGGATCTTGTCAATGTCATGGAGGATGAACTCACGGCGCCACAATTATTATGTTCCAAAGAATCATCCTGGATCTCAGATATGAATATGATGGAGGGGGAAGGTGTCTCTGTCTCCTTGGAGACAAAACAAGAGTTCAAAGTGACAACCAACTCAGGAGACAAGAGACGAACCAAGGCAGAGAAGACAATCAGCTTGGCAGTTCTTCGACAATACTTTGCAGGAAGTCTAAAAGAATACTTGGCGGTAGGACATTTAACTTTTTTTCTCTTTGTTTTTGCCTTTTCTCACACCATATTATATACATCTCATAATAATAAAATGGAACTTTTTTTGTTTTGTTTTGTTTTGATTTGTAGTATGTCCTACGACTCTAAAAAGGATACGCAGACAACATGGGATTACTAGGTGGCCTTCGAGGAAAATTAAGAAGGTAGGCCACTCTTTAAGGAAACTGCAACTCGTGATCGATTCAGTCCAGGGGGCCGACGGTGCCATTCATATTGGTTCCTTCTATTCCAGTTTTCCAGAGTTGAGTGAATCATTCAAGATCAATGATCATAATTCTAATCAAATTCATGCCTTGTATAACCAAGCAAAATCCCCACCCTCCTCTTCTTCCACTCAAACCTCTAACCCAACTCCTATTCTAATCACAGAGAGAGCTCACACTCACAGTACTGAATTAGTAGAATTGCATGCATCATCAATCCAGGTCCAAGAGTATATTGAGGCTCTCCCTCCCTTGTGTGCTTTTAGAGTCAAAGCTACTTTTGGGGATGATAAAATCCGTTTTAGCTTGCTACCAAATTGGGGATTCAGAGATTTGCAGCAGGAGATTGCAAGACGTTTCAATCTAAACAAGGTCACCAACATTGATCTCAAGTATTTGGATGATGCTGTTCTTTTAACATGCGATGCTGATCTTGAGGAGTGTAAACGCATATATAGATCCTCTCAGAGCCCCACAATTAGACTCTTCCTCTTTCATGCAAATACATTTGGCGGCAGCACCCCCTCCTAACCCGATTTGTCTGGTTTTGTTTTGCTTAATTGTGTGTAGCATCCATGGCCCACAAGTACCTATAGGCTATATCCTTGTTATTAGCGGCAGCAATGTCAAACTCCATCATGTTTAGAACAAAGAGAAGTGGGAACCATTTTATATCTGTTACTTCTCCCTTGCTCATTCAATACATTGATTGAAGGATATTTGTTCAAAATAATGAACATTGAAATGCAAAAGACTATATGCTTTATATTCATGGCTCTATTACTCCATTGCATATATTTGATCCATCGAAATTTTAAGTGATATATCCATATATCCCCCACTTCCACATGTGATAGAGACGAGGGAGGGGCTAGCAGGGTTGTTCGTCCCCGTTCTAATTTATACCACCCTTTAAATTTTAATATTATTTCTGATTTTTTGATTATATAATTAGTCATCGTCCCTTTTCAAAATTTATAGAATTATTTAATTATAAATAATCGTAATTTTAAAGAAAAATACATGTTATAATTTTGCCCCTCTGAGAAAATTTTTCTGACGCGGCTATTCACTCCCACAGCGAGGAAGATAAATACTTCAATGGCAGTGCAGTGTTCATATACATAATTAAATGATAAGTAGATATTAAGAGACTTGAGAAAATCATTAATTGCAATTGGCAGATGGTCGGAATTTAATTTAAAAAAAAATCAATTGGGGATGACAAAAACCGTGTAGTTAATTTCCAAAACAAGCGAAAAAAATAAAGGCTGTTTACGTGGTTCGTAGTTGTAGGGGACGGTGACCATTGTTAGAATGACAGGGTAGCTCGAAATCCTTTACAAAAGGATATATTTATTAATGGATCAAATAATAAATCATAATAAGTAAATCAATATCACATTTGAATCCAAAACTTAAAGGCCATGAGTTTATGGATCTTTTGTACTTATATGGTATTCACTTAGTCTATGTCTAGCCAATGTGGGACTTCACACCACTACTTATACTTGAATATTTCCAATATCCTTTTCTCAAGTGTGAGGCCCAATGTCATGCTCCTCCCGAAGGGCAACTTCTGCGAAAGTCTTTTCTCTTCAAGTATTGAAGTCACACTAGCCTTCTGTAGAAGCCTTCAAATATCACAATCTCCAAATACTTGGCCCAGCACCGTTGGCTCTGATACCACACTATTAAGAATGGTTTTTAAATTTGGAACAAAAAGAACGTTAGAAATAGTGTGGGTGGAGTTTTCTTTGGTATGAAGAGTGACTTTTCCTTTTCCCATTACAGATATTGTGGAGTTGTCGCCAAACTTGACGGTGTTGCGAAAAGATTCATATAACTCAGAGAACGCCTTTTTATCTCCACACATGTGGTTGCTGCAGCCAGTGTCTACTACCACAAGTTTTGCTGAGTTTTTTCATTTACATGGCACACCATCAAAAGAGATATTTCTTCTTCTCCTTCTTCTTTTTCTACAAAGTTAGTACTTTCTCCATTTTTCTTATTTATATAAGTTATACATTCCGATGCATAATGGCCATACCTATGACATCTGTAGCATTCAACATTTGACTTGTTTGCAGACTTTGGTCTATAATTGGTCAAATGGTGGTCTCCTTGTCCTCGTCCTCTTCCTAGAGAATCATGATGGAAATAATTACCTTGGAATTGTTGTTGGTTGCTACGATCTCTATTTCCTCTTCCTTAACCTCTTCCATTTCCTCGGCTTTTGCCTCCTCCTCTTGTTGTCTGGTGATTTTTTATTGATGCCTTCAATGCTTGATCATCTGCATCTTCCTGTTTGAATTTATATTCATGCACCAACAACGAGCTTTGCAATTCATCAAGTGAAAGGTCATCTATATTTTTATATTCTTCTATAGCACAAACAACAAAATTAAATTTTGGTGTTAAGGATTGAAGTGTTTTTTCAACCACAATGATTTCTTCTATCCTGTCTCCATGGATTCTCATCTTGTTGACAATAGTCATCACACGAGAGAAATAGTCTGCAATTGATTCTCCTAACTTTATTCAAAGTGTTTCAAACTTTGAGTGTGACGCTTGAAGCTGCTACCTCATTGCTCTTGCAGAGCCTTGATACTTCTTCTTCATAGAGTCCCAAATATCCTTGGAAGTTTCTTTGCAAAGAATGATTTGCAAGATAGAACGGTCAATGGCCTGGAAGAGATAATCCTTTGCCTTCAAATCCTTCAACTTTGTCGCTTCATGAGCTGCTCGTTGTGTTGCTGTCAACTGAGCTCCTTCTACTTGTTCAGCAATGCCATTGGGAACAACATCCCAATATTCCTTGGATCGAAGAAAGTTCTCCATTAGCATGTTCCAATGGTCATAATGACCATCGAAACGTGGAATTACTGCTTGTACAAAACCTAAATCGGCGGCCATGACTTTTTTTACAACTCTACTCTGCTCCAATGGTCATAATGACCATCCTTTTTTTTTACTGAAAAAAGGAATGCTGCATATTTCTCCAATACTCCAAGCCTATTAAAAGGCAATACAAAAATCTGAAAATACCAATGAAAAGACTCATTACAATGTTAATCAAGAGTCTCATTACACCATATCATCAACTACGCATAACACCCACATTAAACATCATGATTATTTAACTTCATAACTAACATAAGAAAACCAAGAGACAATTGACTATTCAACATACCGCCACTTTTCAACAAGTTATTTTCCTAATTGCCACGCATTCAAAATAATTTTTCAAAATGCCACACAGCCAAAAGTGCTACAACCCATAGCACTTTTTGTTTGCCCACGTGTCACGAAGTTTGATGCCACCAAACGTGTTATGGGCCATAGCACTTTTAGTGATCAAAGTGTCAGCCTTCTCTAACTTAAAATGGGACACATGGCAAACCCCCACCAAAAGTGCTACGGGTTATAGCACTTTTGGTTTGCACCGTCAGCCTGCTCTGCCTTAAAGGCTTATTTATAAAATCCTGATTTATATCCAATTCCATTTAAATTCTGATTTATAAAATAGAAACAATTCAAAATTATCCTCTCTCCTTTTTTATAAATGAAAGGGTCGAAGCCTAGGGAAAAAAAACACAAGAAGAAGAAATTAATGAACTGCCATGGCTCGAGCCCTACCTACAGGTAAAACATCGGCTAATGCAATAACAGAATACTGGAAGGAGGTTCATGATAAACAACAACATCAACTTTCTCCCCATTATCAAGGATAAATTAGCCATCCAGTTAGTGCACATTTTGCCCTCTCTATAAGTGTAACGAAGCTTAATTCTCCAATCTCTTTGAAACCATGTCCGTAGGCGAGAGACAAGGTGACTCTCACGGACTGCTGCACCAAGGTTGGTGAGCATAGTAATTGCACTAGATGAATCACTTCAAGCTCAATATTTCGAAATCCATCATTCCAAGCCAATTCCAAACCATGAAGAATACCCCATAGTTCTCCATCATTATTCTTAGATCACAACATATATTTCAAAAAAAATTCTCAATTTTCAACCATTTCAAGATTCATTCCATTCAAATATGTGGTAAGTGGTGAAACAAAAAAAAAGTATGAAGGAGAGCCTAGTCTTAGTGTTTTTTTAAGAAAAGGAGAGCCTAGACTAAAACACAACAAATAAAATTAACTATTTGGAATTCAAACGTGTGTAGTAAAAAGTATGAAGGAATGGACTAACATAGATCATATAATTGAAAGGATCCATGCACAAGCTAGACGAATCACATCAAGTGGATCCAATATCATGTCTCAACACATAACCTTAAGGCATTATATACATAAATCCTTCCACTTGTATAGCTCATTCCTTTCCAATATAGGATATTTTATGTCTGATACTTGAATTTCCAATAACCTTCCTCTCAAGTGTGAGTTTTACCACTGTCAATTCACCATCAAATGGAAGCTTCTTCGAATATTGATGAAATTACCAACCAAGAGTGGGTTATTCTCTTGGTTCACACCATGAGTTTGCATAGCCTACAAACCTGAACACCAATCATCATCTCCAAATGCTCGGTACACCCAAGCCAATTAACCATTGGCTCTGATAATACTATTGAGTAGCGGTCAAAGAAAGTCCAATTGGAGGAAACTATCAGCAAATGCATCAAATGGGCCTAAGCAACAAATCCACAGTAAGGAATCCGACATTATGTCTCAACCCAAAATTTTAAGATATTGGATCCATAAGTCCTCCAAATAAAATTCAATCACACTTTGAATATTCCAACACTAACGAATACTAAAATCAAAACTAGAAATGCTAGCTAAATCATCAAAGTAAAGCTTCTCCAATCCTTCGGAAACTAAGCTGTAAACTTGAATCCTTTACTTTGTTCTCATTGCTACACCAGCTAGCCAATCAGCCCAACGATTGCAATAACAAGGAGTGTGCAAGATCTTTATATCCCCATGCTTCTGAAGCCGAGCCAGAGTTCTAACCAACAACTGTTGTTGTCGTGCAACATTGGAGGTGAGCATGGAGACTAATTCAAAAGAGTCCCCTTCAAGAATAATTCTCCGTAACTCCAATAATATTAGCAGCAAAGTACTGGCTTAAGTGGTCAACTCGCCAGCCAAAACCGTCCTCCAATACATACCTGTTGATACAATCATCGAGATCACCAACGGGAGGAGCTTGCACTGCTACCGCTCCCATCACCGAAGACCACCCAAGAGGGAATGCCATACTTGATACTTTGCCAAATCTCTTCCGAGAAGTGATTTCAGAGTAAACTACATAAGAAGTATTTAAACTTCACCCTTAAATTAAAAAGAAAAAAGAAAAAGAAGAAGGTATAGTTATAAATATAGAATTTAAATCAATTCATTCAACGCTCTCTATAACATTACTATTATTATCATAGTCTAACATAACTACCACAAATATACATCTATGATATGAAATATGCTACTACATCTATGCATTGCATACTTTACTTTAAAAGCGTGCTAGGTATATTTATACGTACATGATGCCCCAATTACATGTAACATGAACCAGTTTCATTTTAATCTTTGTTAATTTTACACTTAAATGATTGAATTAACAAGATGCAATTTTCTTTGTTTTTCCAGTGTTTTTAGCCTAATACATTATGACTATAATTTATGTCGTCTGTCAAACTTATAGTAAGTAAAGAAACCATGGCAATCTTCAGGATGACGTGCCGCTCACAACACAAATTTTACCCTTTACCATTTTCTGATCAAAATGTTAGCATTTGAGTTTCTCTTTAAGAAACAAATATATTACATTTGTTGCCATTCTCAAAAAAGTAAAATTTGCTACTGAAAGAGGAAAAATAAGTACACAAAAATCACTATTCGCTAAGGTTGCAAACTTGAAGATATGGATTATCCAACATAACATATCTGGACCAGTATGTTTTATACTTGGAAACAGCAAGATTCAACCATGGCTTGTAGTTTCCATTGTAGTGAATGACAGAGGCTTTCTCTATCTCTGTTAGGTTCAGAGCTGGGTCATAGCCAAGTCCCAAAACATGCCAGCCCCGATCTAACGGATAGGTCAGATTATAAAAGGTGATTAGTCCGGGGGGTAAGGTTCCAAGCTTCCAGAGGGTTCTATCCTCATTCTGCAGAGAAACAAAGCGATTAATTATACATCTGATAAGAAGAAACTACTAAGTAAAATCCCAAAACAGTAAGACATGGCTTTCTGGTAATTGAAATTGAGGCCTGAAAAAGAAAATAAACATGGGCAGGATGCAGATATCGGAATCTTCAGGCAACCAAACACAAGGGCGACCAATTTCATAAAATGACTTTCAGACGGAAAGAAAAGTTGAAAATAATAAAATATATTTGGACAACTACAACAGGAAGAATAAGATTAGGAATTTACCATATCTTGCCACCGATGATATATTCCAGTGATGTTTCGTTTCTTCCACTCCTTCAAGTCAAAGATATTCATGCCAAATGCCCAGCCACAAGCCTCAGGACTGAAATTATTGGAGATCAGTGGATTACTAAAGTTTAGGTATTTATCAAACCTATGGAAGCTCTCCTTGCATGTCTCCACTGCACCATTCACCATCCCTTTCAAATCAATTGACCAAAGAGGTGTCAAATCTTTCTGCACTACAATGTCATCATCCAAGAAAAGAATTCTGTTTAATTTTGGATAAACTTCAGGAAGGTAGAACCTTAGGTGATTCAGCATAGACAAATATTTGGGATTTCTATATTTCAGATTGTCAGAACCAACAGAAAGGGAGGAAGGATGATTAGCTTTAAAGTAATATTCCTTGATTCTTGCAGATTCAAGTTGACGTAGAACAGAACAATATGAGGAATTCAGCCACTTGAAATCATCAATATTCTGAACTTCAATGGTTGCTTTAGAGGGAGGGTTGATGAGGAACCACATTTTCATTGCTGCAAAATTTAATTTATCAGTCACTATATGGAATACATGCTTCTCAGGTTCCTTTGCATTATGCACTGTAGAATTTACAACCACAGATGTAGCCAGTACATTATCAGAAAAGATAGCATAGTGGTAAAGAGATGGATCTTCAATCTTTTCTTTGTCAAGATTTACTTTCTTATGATGTCCCTGCAGGTAATAATCCGCTGCAAGTTGCAGGGGAAGGCAATGCAATGGTCTAGGCACGGTTTTCGCAGCCAGCTGAATCAAGAATGCACTTCTTTTCTTCTGTAGATTCACACTATCTTCAGTTGATTGAAGCATCACCCTCAACTTCCTCGCCACCAAAAGGCAGTCATAAAGTTGGTCCTTTGCTATAGAAAGAACATGACCCATAGCTTTTGCTCGATCAAGTGCTCTAGCAAAAGCAATAAATATAAACTTTACATGAAAATTGAAACAACTTAATAAGCCTGATAAACAAGACTAAGGAAATAAAAATACCCAAGGTGAAGCTCGGCATCAGAATTGGATGCTCCAATAGCTTGTTGACTCTCTCTGGAATGTTTGACGAGAGCTTTGTAAAGAACAGTTTTGTTCTTAGACTTTGCAATGTTGGTATATGCTTTGGCCATTACTATTTGATCTCGCATGAGTTTCAGATTTGAATCAGAATTTGGGTTTTTATATTCTCTCCTCCATATACTATACTTTCCCTTGACAGTGGTATCAAACCCTTCAGAGCGTTCAATTGCTGCAGATACAATGTGATTGTCGGTTTCTTTGTCTTGCTGAATAAGTTCAGCAGCACGAGCTTTCCTTCTTTCTTGCCGCATTATCTAAGGGATTTGAAACTATTAAAAAAAGCCCCAATCAACAGCAAAAACAGAGAATGGAACAAACACTCTTTCTCTTATCTCTATCATTTTTGTTTGGCTGAGTTGCTAAAGATAAAATTATATAATTACCCGGCGCTTGATCTTCACCGGAGTCATTGATGCGGAATGGGGAATCCTAATTCTGCTTTCTTCAGGATAACGTTCATCTGTGGAGTGCTTGGGATTGTCTTCAAATCTTGAATCAGTATGAAATGATTCCACCAGACCCTGTAAGTGTATCAGATCATGAATATTACCAGACAGTGAGTGGTCATGGAGAGAAAATAGCAGCTCAGATTGGGATTTCATACATTTGAAACAAGAAATGGAAATGCTAAGGTAATTATATCGTTAATAGGTTATGTTTTCAGCTAGATATAAGTCCTTCCAAATTACCGAAACGAACTGAATTAAAGAAACAGATGATATCAAACTAAAGTACCTGGGAGCTCATTTGATGTTCATTGTTTCCATGAGTAGGGTTTTCCCAGATCCAGGAGTCAGATAACCCCCTCATTTTCAACCTAGCTAGCCGAACATGGCCAGTTGCATCGCTGTATGTTGCAATTATATCAATGTCCTGTATAAAATCATTACACTAGAAGCATTATTGCTGGTTCCTCTCCGTTGCATATAGTAATGATGAGGAATAATACCTTTTCATCAGGATAATTGCGGACTCTAGTAGTAGAAATATCTTGTTCCTGCTTGCACACAAACAGCAACAATGCAAAGGGTACATGATGATGTATAAATAAAACTACACACGAAGAAAGTTTAGTTATTTTCAGTGTTGAACTAGATATCTGAGATGAACTCACCTTGATGCGATGGCATTGATCGCAACCATAGAGGGCCCGAGATCCTCTGTAGAAAAGAAATCAGGTTGGGAAGGAGAAGGGGAGAAATAGAGAAAGTGAGAACAGATGAATGAATCGCAAAGATGATAAGAAAGAAAAGAATGGACTAGTTACTTGGTTGTTGAAGAATCTGCACCATAAAACAAAACCTGCCCACATAATTGAAAAAATGAAAAAGAGAGCTTTTCTTTTCTAATTATGCAGAGGCGCGCGCGCAAACCCTAAAAACCCATAATTGAGAACTTACCGAAAAGAAGAACATAAGTAGTAGGGGGCGTGTATAAGTCTCCATGAGAGTTGGGATTAAATTAGATTGAATCTGAATCTTGAACCTTGTGTGATAATAATAACTAACTAGTTACTTCATTCATTCCTCCCGTCTTGTTGCCAATTGGGCTTGGCTGGCCACCAACGCAGTCAGATCAGATCCTTCTTCCTTGTCTTGTTCCATTCTCTCTCTCTCTCTTTATTTTAGTGAAAGAATTCATTTAAGTGATAAAAAAAAAAAAAAAAAAAAAAAAAAAAATTCACTTGCGTTCTTTCATTCACAGCATTTATTTATTTATTTAATCATAGCATATCTATTTTCCTTATAATATTTTAATCTAAACAAATATTATTTTTAGTATTAACATTCCCTATACAAATCAATTAAATTCCGTGATTTACGTTGTAGTTTCTCTCATTTATATTTCCCTTTTATGTTTTTAAAAAATATATTTGATTGTATTTAACTTTTGATTTCTACCTTTATAAAAGCTAAAAAATTTAATTTTAAAAGAAAAATTGATTTTTTTTATGTCTTTTGCTTTTCTGTTAAAAGCAAACGTCCAAATTAATTTTTTCCTTTTTTCTAAAAGAAAACAGTTTTCGGAGAAAAAACTCATCCAAAACACGCTATCAGCAAACCTTGATTATCACAGCAATAGAGTTGTACATTATGGGCGGAAGTATTGGATGCAAACTGGGTTTCCCAATGTAACAATTAAACCTGTTGGGTGTTGACTTGAAAATTAAATTAGGATACATCAATCTGTACAGGAAACGACCTACTCCTTTACAACAAAGTTGCATAATTTAGAAATTAGAAGAGGCCTAGCATTACTCTCTGCCAGGCGCATTGAATACAAACCCTGTCCCTACCGTTCTATGGTTAAATTAATAAATAAACAATAGAGGAGGAAAATCTTTTACTTCACAACTGCAACACCAAATCAGGGGTCGAATTTGGAGATCCAGGAGCCTGAAATCTCACATTGAGATCTGGAGGAACTGAGCCTGACTTCTGCTGTGGTGCTAGTCCGGAAATAGACTTCTGATTTGGCTGCCAAGGCACGGACTCGCTCCTTGAGTTTGATAATGCAACGCTACAACCTACACTTGAATGTTCTGGGAGCTCAACATCATCTGATTTTAAGCTGTTTGCAGGAGCAGGATGGAAAACGTTATTATTAGATCTAGGTGATGTGTCAATCACTGAGCAAGTATGAAGATTAAACCCAGCAGGTTGGGTCTCTTCAATATTTTTCCCCACCTGAGCTGCATTTTTATACCCATTCATTCGAGGCTGAATCCCAGGGCTTCGATGCACCTGACATGCATTCAAAGGCGATATTGCACCCTGTAGATTACACCCCATAGTAGAATTCAATACCCCCTTAGCTTCCGTTTTTCCCGTTATACGTTCAGAAGATCTATTGGCAACAACAGAGGATGATGAGGGAATAAAACATGGAGAACTATGCTTGGTTGTAAGGCCATTTGGAGGTAAGATATTTAAAGGTGCATGCTTCTCCGACAAAATGTTTCCATCATGCTTTTCAGATGATTTGTCATTCTTCAAATCAAATGTGACAGGCACAGAAGCTGATGAGGAGCTTTGACCAGACAAGGGTTGCAACGGTGATGACAGAGTTGGTGCATGTGAAGGTCGTGGCACTGGATTGCTTTGTTTCGCATCATTTTCTCCGACCCAACCAGGACCAAATTTAATGACAGGAGATAGGCATTTCTCTATCTTCTTAGATGCAATTTTCCAAGCAAAAGGTCCCACATTGGCAGCAAATTGTGCCAAGCTTCTTGCATAACCAAACTCTGAATGAAGGCCAACCTAACCAAATAAAAGCCAAGTCTAGAGATCAGCCAAAGCCATGCAGATACCCATTTAAAAATAGGTCTAACAAAAAATACGGAGTAGCGCAAGCAAAGCCATTCTTGGCTATCTGAATTTCAACCCGATAGAAGCAAGTAACTCTGGCCAAAAGCAGCAAGTTACCAGAAACTGCCGATGACTTACTCTGCCACCTTTGCATCAGGCAATTGATTGGCATGATTTTATAACATAGTGAGCATAGTAAAACCTCATATTCATTCAGCTGATAAAATTATTCGCACAAACTTATGGGGAAACTTAATAACGACAGATCACCAATATAAAGGACACATGCATGACAGCAAATAATTTTCATCTGCTTTTCAGATAAATAAATTGAAAGATTAACTGCAAGTCAAACACATACAGGTAGTAGTAATTTCCTCTCTCCATCAAAAGTAGTCAAAACCGATAGCTCTTGCGCATCAGCTGGTGAATGAGAATACTTATATGTGCTTCGTTTATTCTCATCAAGTACAATATGTTTTTTCACATATTTCATCATATTTCCCCTAAAAGTTGGTCCTGTAAGAAAATAAAAGATGAAGGTAAAAATGACTTGCTTATCTCAAGAAATTTACATGAAAAAAGGATGAACAAAAATAGATTGATAAATGGGAAGGACGATGTGGGTTGTTAGTTAGTTATGAACCTGTAAAATCATCAATCTTCTCTGAATTCTTCTCTGCTAACCAACTACTACAAAAATCATTATTGCGAGTGACATGAGATCTTCCAGATAGATCGGCAGAAGCAGATTTCTTTAAAACATGAGATCCTTTTCTCATATCGTGATTGGACCACATGGCATTTTCTCCCCCAGTGGCAAGAGTGGCATCAGATGAAAACTCTACACCAGCACGATCCACGAAAGTCCTGACCGGTGGTTTCTTCAGTTTCTTGCTGGGTGGTCTGCCTCTTCTTACTACTCTTGGCTCTAGCTCATTATCATCGCCACTATCTTGCCTAAGATTTTCAAAATTCTTTTTTGCCAGTTCTTGAATTGATCGTGCCTGGCATCAGTTTATCAGTTTTAGAAAACATGAAGAGAATTGCTCAATTCTAGTAAATGCACGGGTTCGTATTATATAATTACCTGTCTGAAATATATGGTATCCGGGGCATTATACTGCATCGCATTTGTACAGATTAAGAAAACATCTTTCTGCACAAGAGTAATAAAGAGTAAGCAAGAAAATGGTTAAGCAACAGACAGACAGTGCAAATCTTCTACGTCCTAACAAAGAACATGATAGACAAACCAATTAACCTAGATTTGCATCTCTACAAAATAGTCATAATTTTACTATCCTTTTAAGGATACAGACAAAAGATAACAGTTTAGTTTCATAGTTGTCAATAGCAGTTAGCGGCCAGTAGCGGCCGACCCCGAAAATGGTATAACGGTGTAGCGGTATTACCGTTACGGTGAAGTATTAATTCCACATATATTATACTAACAGTCAAGAAACAAGGCAATACCGCTTTTAGTATTAATGCTCAAACATAAGAAGTCACACAAAATCAAACACATAATTCCACAATCAATGTCAAATACAAGGAACATAAAGGAAGGATCCAAAATTAAACACAACTGAACAATAAAATTGTCAAATAGCCAAGTACAAGAAGTGAACTAATAACGAAAATCATCATCATCTTCGGATTCTCCATCAAATTCCAACATGGGAGTGTAGCGGGGTAGCGGGTAGAGGTATTGCTGCTACGTTACGCCGCTACCTTCCGCTACGGCCAATGTCGCGTAGCGTCGCGGTTTGTAGTGGCCGACCGCCGCTACCCGCTAAGGTAGCAATTTAGCGGCGCTACGGGCCGCTACTGACAACCTAGTTTAGTTTATATCCATTGTCAATTGACTCATCACCGTAAATAGTTCTTTAAGGGGGAGAGGTCAGTAGCGACTAGCAACTAGGGAGTATTCAGCCATTCACCTCAGTTGGCAGTTCAAAACAGAATCCGTAACAGTTGCTATCCTCTAAGATCTCATTTATTGGATATAAAACAGAGACTCAATCCTTTGTAATTGTTATTAATACAACTACAAGTAAAATTCTGAATTGTACTGAACAGATAAAAGAAATTCCATGTTTTAATATGTTTCACCATGTGAACGACACCCTAAATAATCCACACTTGATGTGAACTATTGAATAGCTGGTGCAACTAATAACTTTAAGCAAATCCTTCGTAAGGCGTTGGAATTTAATTTAAAGAGTGTTTAGCCACAAAAAGCATTAATTAAACAATAAACTAAAACTAACTGGAATCAATTTCAACAACAAAATAGTTTAAAGAGACTTTATTTTTTTCATTTACCTAACTTCCCGGTTACAACTGGCCTCCTTATGCATAGCAGTTGGAGACAAATTAACACACAAGTGACACAACGAGGAAAGCAAATGTAAAAGCTGCTTGGGCCAAACTATTCAACATAAGCTCAAACTTAAGTTAAATACTAACCTCAAATTGTTCCAAGTTGGCATAATCTCCATCATCTAGCTTCTTCCTTACAGTGCCAAAGTCCATTGGAAACTCTATAACTTCATGGTAATCTGGAAGCTGCGAGCAGTGATTACCACGTTAAAATAAAAGAGAATTGCACGAGAGCTATAAGTTATTATCACAAATATTTCTTAAGATTAACCTCATTTGGGTCGACTGGCTCGGAAAACACACCATAAGTGTCCTTCCTGATTTATATTAAAACATTCAGTGAAATGGAATTGAGATACTGCATCAAAACGTACAAATACAAACTAGGTACAGTGCAAGAGGGAAGACATACTTTTGAAGCCTGTCCAGAATAAAAAGTAACAGCGTTTTATCAGGTAAAGATGTTGAGAGTCCAGAATCTAACTGGGTCGCTGCACGATCAGATAACACTCAAGAAGCTTTCAAATTATTTTTATTATTAAAAAAAAAATGAAAGATAAATCGTGTCTAGTAGTTATAAGGTCAACAAACCTTGAGGGGTTTTGGCTAGGTCTATACCAGAAGTAGAATTCTGACACTGCAAGAACAAAAGAAAAAAAAAAAGTCATGAAAAAACATGTTTGCGCCTTTCCCGCGGTGAGAAACAAACCAGCAAAGTATCTGTTAAAAAAGCAAAGGGAACAGGCATATTTCCAAGTGTCCAAAAGGGAAATAAATACAGTTAGACTTCGAAACTGAGAAACAACTATTAAAAATAAAAAATAAAAAATAAAAAGGAGAGAGAGAGACAAATAGAAGCTTTTTATGAGATATGAAAGTCAAGTCATTATGATTTTCCTTTTAAGTAAAGATAGATTAAATGCTTTATAAAGAATAAAAAAAAAAAAAAAAAGTTGATACTGTAGTGTAGGGTGTAAGACCTGTTCAAACTGAAAATTTAGACACCCGAAATTCAAGGTATTTGGAAAAGCAATAAGTCAAAAAAAGGAATTGGCATTTGGCAATTTGAATTCTCGAAAATTAAATACCGTATGGACGGGCCCGGATCCATGGGGTATGGGATTGATCTTGCGCTTCATGCAATTGGAGACAACGAGATCATCCTCCGACCCACATGAATTGGAGGAGTGTGAGGGTAATTTGAGAACGAGTTTGAGCTTCTTCTGACGCTGCGTCCCACTCGATAATTCCTCATCCTCATCCCCGGCCAAGTCTGTATTGGGGTTCCGGCGGGTAGATCGCCGGACATGTTTAGGGGTGGTCCTGTAATTCGAATCAGAGTTATGGTTTCGCTTGAGTTGTTGTTGTTGTTGTTGCTCCTTCAGAGTTCGTTTTCGGAGATCCAAAAGAGAGGGTCGTCCTTTCTTCTTCTTCTTCTCCACTATCTTACCCATGTGTGGTGGTGGTGTTGCCCTCTCTCTCTCTCTCTCTCTCTGCAGACAAACAAACAGGGCGTTATTTTTCTATTTTTATTTTATTTTAAGAAATTTTGTTTTATTTACTGCGTGGATTCTACTTAACAGACGCATTCACATTGGGCTTCATGCATTGCGATACTGATTGTCAATTACCACCTTGTATTGCTTTCCACGTGTTATAAGAAAGCCCAAAATCTCCAAACACAGTGCCCCCAAACACACCGCCTGTTTTATAACAAACTTTTCCTTCACTCTTTTTTTTTTTTTTTTTTTTGTGAACATGAAGATCATCGGTAAAAAAATAATTACCAAACCTGAGAGGAATTAATTCAGTCCAAAGCATTTTCATTTTCACACAGTCCCTAAGTAAATGCAGAGAGGTTTCAGCTTCTACTAAACAAACTGGACAATAAGCTTGGCCTAAATCAAATGAACTCAATCTAGCTTTAGTTGGCAATCTGTCATGGAAGACTTTCCACAAGAATAATCGAACAACTTGAGGACCTTTCCATCTCCAAACCATTTTCCAAATCTCTGAATTACCATGAGTATCAGAATCGGTACCTGCAAGGGTTTGATAAATGTTTTTTACTGAAATTTGATCAGAGTTATTTAAATTCCAACGCATAAAATCATCTACATCCTGCTCATTTGGAGGTAAAATGCTTCTAATTGATAACACAACATCAGAAGGCAGCCAACGAGCAAGAGACTGAATATCCCAATTACCCTGATCATCAACATATTCAATAAGCTTTTTATTGCTTTCTTCCCATGGAATTGGAGCTATAGTCATGTCCAGAAGCCTATTTCCATCATGTATCCATTTATCCTTCCAAAAAGAAATCTATGTTCCATTTCCAATCTCCCAGTTGAGATGGTTTTCTAATTTTTTCCAGATTGAACATATGTATTTCCATAATCTAGAATCACCATTTTTGCAGCTAAATAAAGAACTTCCTCTATTCGGACCACTATATTTAGATTTTATAAAATGAACCCAGAATTAATCTGGATGATCAAATATATCCCAAGCAAGCTTCCCTACAAAAGCATCATTCATGGATATTAACTTTTTCAAACTCAAACCTCCTTCTGATTTCGGTTTTGTAATAGTCTCCCAGCTCACAAGGTGCATCTTTTTTTTGTCCTCTGTGTCTCCCCAGATGAAACCTCTCTGCAACTTTTCAATTTCATGACAGATTGATCTAGGGATTTTATCACATTACATTTGATAAAAGGGAATAGCTGATAGAACAGACTGAGCAAGGGTGATCCTACCAGCTTGTGATAGGCATTTTGATTGCCAGCCATTCAACTTGTTTTGCACCTTTTCAACAATATTAGCATATGCATCCTTAGACACTCTGTCATGCTTCATCCATACCCCCAGATGTCTCCCTACATTACGCACCCTCTTAAACCCACAAGCATTGGTGATCTCATCAGCTACATTATCTGGAGTATTCTTGGAGAAGAAAATACTAGTCTTCTGTTGATTCACTCTTTCTCCTGAGATATCACCAAACAGCTGCAGACACTTGAGAATAATTTGGATTTGATCCATAGAGGCTTCAGCAAAAAGCATTAAGTCATCAGCAAACAACAAATGGGATATAGCAGGTCCACCTTTTCCAGCATGAATTGGTTTCCAAAGGTTACCTTGAACAACAGTGTTGATAGTATGGCTGAGTTTTTCCATTGCAATAACAAAAACATAAGGAGAGAGAGGATCACCTTGTCGGACTCCTCTTGAAGGTTGAAATTCCTTTGACATCCCTCTATTCCAGAGGACATTGAAACTAGCAGTAGAAATTGCAGCCATAATAATACTAACTAAATTAGCTGGGAGCTGCACCTCCTGAAGAATTTTTTTAATAAAATCCCAATTCAATCTGTCATAAGCTTTTTCTAGATCCACCTTGATAGCCATGAAAGTCTTCCTTCCTCTCATTCTATGCATAGAATGAATCAACTCCTGCACTATAATTATATTATCTTGTATATGTCTACCCGGAACAACGCTAGCCTGGACAGGGGATATGATTTTATCCATTATACCAAACATCCTTTGCACCACAATCTTGCTCAAGACTTTATAAATCACTGGACACAAAGATATTGGCCGAAATTGAGCCATATAGGATGGATTATTTTCCTTAGGAATAAGAACAAGCAAAGTGGAATTAATAGTGGCCACTAAGTCCGGATTTTCCTATAAACTATGAATAAGCTGAACTAACTGAGTCTTCATCTTAACCCAGTTAACTTGGAAAAAAGCAGCTGGAAAACCATCCACTCCTGGAGCTTTGTAAGAACCCATATTAAACAGGGCTCTTTTAATTTCATCTTCTGTTGGATTTTTACTAAGCATGATCTTTTCCTCATCAGATAAAGAAGGCCATAAATTATGGGAAGAAAGCCACCTTCTATGTTAAACATCTTCAGAGTACAGATTCTGGAAGAAATTACAGGCATGATTTTTAAGCTCATATGGATCAGAAATCCATTTATTAAAACCATCTTTGAGTCTCACAACTCTATTGGCATTTCTACGGATTATTGTATTTAGGTGATAGAATTTAGTTTTTCTATTACCATCAACAATTCATTGTTGCCTAGACTTCTGAAACCACAACAACTCTTCTTCTTCCAAAACTTTCTTTAGACTTTCTTCACAATGACTCTCCATATTCTTCAGCCTATCAATGTCATTCCCAGTCCTTTGATGCTGAATATTTTCCTGGGTTTTCAATAATCTCTCCTTCTTTCTATTAATATCACCAAACACCCTTTTTATTCCACTTTTGAAGAGTAGGTACTAATCTTTGAAGCATATATGGAATGTCAAAATCTTGATCCCAATTATCATTTAGAAAACTAGGAAAAGCATGATGATGATGCCAAGCTGCTTGAAATCGAAAAGGTTTTTTACAATTGGCTTCTTTTCTGGCAAACAGGTTTAAAAGCAAAGGATTGTGATCGGAGTGGACCTGAGGAAGATGAATAACTTTTGCATCATCAAACTTGAGTCTCCAGTGAATATTGGTTACAATCTTATCCAGTCTTTTGTAAACTCTGTCCAAATGAGCCCACTTTGGACCTTGCCATGTGAATTTAGATCCTGTGAATCCCAAATCCTCTGATTGACACTCATCAAGTGTTTCTTTGAAGGTCTGGAATTTTGTATAATTTGGAGGAGATCCCTCTTTCTTTTCTGATGCAGCCACAATTTCATTAAAATCCCCTCCAACCAGCCAAGGCTTAATCATGTTCCTACCCATTCTCTTCAACTCATCCCACAAACCAGATCTTCTTGCCTCCCTAGGACTAGCATATATTGATGTACAAAGAAAGCTGTCACCACTTTTAAGAGTAATTTTTGAGTGAATCATTTGATCAGATTGGGAAATAGGCTCCACATTAATCTTATTGGAATCCCACATAATCCAAATTCCACCAGAGAACCCCTGAGCTTCTTCCACAAAACAAATATTAAAACCACAATTTTTCATGATTTTTGAACCAGAAGCACCGTTAACTTTAGTTTCTAAGAGAACTATCATGCAAATCTGATTACTCCTAACTGTGTTTTTTAATACACGCCCAAACTCTTTACCAGCAGCCCCTCTCACATTCCAGAAAAGAAAAGACATAAAAATCAATCATTGTTTACAGGGTTATGGAGTACCTGTATCTCCAATTCCATTGGCGAAGCTTTTCCACCCAAATCTTCTCGATTCTGCACTTCTGTACTAGGATTATCTTGCTCCATTTCATCTCTAGTCTGATCTAGTGGCCTTGGTGCATGCTGAGTGTCCATAATCTGAGAAGTATTACTCTGGTTTAAGTTGGTAGGAAGAATATTTTTCCTCGATAGAATTTGGATTGAAGGGATCTCTCTGGTTTGGGATTCTTCCTTTGCTGTTTGAATGCTCTTTTGACTCATACCATTCTCAACTTGCCTCGAATTGGCAGGTTTTATATTTTTTGTAGCTGGCTTTCTTTTCTAACTTCTGCTTCTATTCTGGAATTCAAGTTCTTCTCGACATTATGATCCTCATTAACTCCACCTACCAACTTATAGTTGGTGCTGGTTTCAATTACTTGAATTGCATTTTTATCTCCTTTTTTCTCCCCTGTCTATTTTTTGAATTATGCTCTGCAATGCTTTCTTCCTCATTAATTTCCACATTCAAATTCTCCTCTTTTCCATCCTCTGCATCATTAGATTCATATGCAAGAGCATTAAATCTGGATGATTGTCTTCTTGTGGGTTGGCCATTATGGTTCTCCTTCTTCCCTTTTTGGGCAAAATCATTAATCCGGTTAAATCTCTTCTGCCTATTAACTAACATCCAAGGGCCATAAGTATTTTCCTTTGCTAAATCTCCACTTGAGCAGCTTTGACTCATAGTTGTATCCACTCCTCCTCCTTGTTCCTTCCTATTTTGGTCTTGAGATGGTTCAGCGTTTTCAGTGGGACATTTTTTGGAGCACATCTCTAACCTATGCCCATATTGGCCGCAAGAATAGCACACCAAATGTAATCCCTCATATTCCACATGCTTCAGTCTTCCCTCAAGTTTGTACTCAGCATTCAGTGGCTTGGTAAGATCTAATTCAACACATATGCGAGCAAATCTACCCCTAGCCAAGGAAGTGGTTGCAGCATCCACTTTGATAAATTTACCCAACCAATTACCAATCCCCTTAATCAATTATGTATTTGTATACTCAATTGGGAACTCCGGAAGCCTCACCCAGGCTGTAATTCAAGCTATTGTTGCTTGGAAAGGGTTAAAATCTGGCTCCCGAGATCGAATCGCAAGATAATGATCTGAGATTACCCAAGGTCCAGCCGTTAAAGCATGATCCAGATCCTTTTGACATGAGAAACGAACTAGGAGATATCTATTTTCCACATCAGTGATAAAAACTTGGCCCTCCCGTGCCCACATGTTTTCCAATCTTTTTTTCATGAAAGTCAAAGACAGTTTCTTACCTAATAGCTTGACATAGATTGCTTTCTTCCATGGTCGCCATGCCTTCTTCTTGAAGTCAGCTGGAAGCTTGAAATTAGTCCGACCATCTCCATCTATTTCCCATGTTACCTCCGGTTGCTTTTCCTTACTGCCATTCTCCTCTTTTTCCTCCTCCACAGTGCCGTTTTCCAATAATATATCCTCCTCATCACTCCACCATTCTCCATTGTGTCTCATTAACATTTCTTTGAAGGATATGCCCTCTCTTATCCACTCATCTTCCCTCGGCACCATCGCTTGGTCGTGACTGAATTCAGCATCGTCTCCCTTATATTTTTTCTTGCTTTGGTGGAGGTTGTCAAATTCCTCCGGTGAGATTTCAGCCTTCTCCGTCGTCTCCATTAAATCGCACAGAAACCCTAGCAGAGCTCTCTAGAAGTCATTCATTCTTTTTTATCTAGTATATTTTCCATTTTATCATTTAACCCTTTAAATAGTAAAAATATTTTTATTATATAATATTTCAAATATATTACTAATAAATAAAATAATAAAGAATAAATTAATTCTAAACAAAATTCTTAATTAAAAGAAAAAATTTAAAATATGATGTAAATTCAAACAATTTTTTAATACTTATAAATAAAAGAGTAAAGTCTCTTTTGCGTCCCTAACAAAAAATATGGTCCTCATTTTAATCCCTTATAAAAAAATTAGTCACCTGGTCCCTATTAAATTCAAAGTGGAGTCCTTTTGAGGGACTAATGTATGTCTTTTTTGAATTTGTAAGGGATTACAATTTTAATTAAATAGGTCCAATTTGTAGGGGGCCCAGGACTAAATTTTTTTTGTAAAGGACTAAAGTGGAAATCATATTTTTTGTTATGGACCCAAAAAAGATTTACTCTAAATAAAACTATTCACAAATTTTTATTATTTATAATTAAAATTAATTAGTATTTAATTTTAATAATTACAAAACAAATCAAGTAAACCATACATTTAAAAAAAATCAATATCCATATGAATGAAGCATAAATCTACCCCAAAAAAAGCATAAATCTAACAAGGAAAAATAATAGAAATTATAATAATCGAAAAATAAATCAATCAATCTATAGTATATTATAATTCAAAAGTTTTGCCACGTATAATTATTACAATGATTTGGATTCTTTTCAATAAAAGTAAAATTTTCATCCTAAACAAGTTTTTTTTTTTAAATAAGTAAATACCTAAATTGGTCCCTGACAAAAAAACTCGATATCCATTTTAGTCCCTAACAAAAATAAATTAGTTGGATAGTCCCCAACAAAGACAAATAGGTCTCACGTTGATCCTTCTGTTAATCCCAAACACACGGCGTCATTGATGGTGCTGATGTGTCACGTTAATGGGCATAGTCACTGCCACGTAGGAGGTGGAACGACATCGTCTGAAGCCCCATAATCCACGTTGCTCATAATCCTTTGGAGAAACCCAAAACTACCTCTCACCTAACCGTGGTTAACTTTACCATTTCCCTCTCTTGAAAGTTTGACACTCCATTGTTGAGAAGGAAGAAGACTGTTTTGCAAACATTTCCCTGCGTTTCGATTCCAAAGTGGTTCAACAATCAAAGGGAAGTGGAGGAAGAAATACCCTTGGTTTGGTGCGAGGCTCAACGTTCCGTACAAAAAAGGTAAGAGACTGGAAGTATTTTGGAACAATTTTTTATCGTAGTTGCTATTTGTTGCCTGCGGTCCCCATGGAGTTTTTGTTGTTTAATGCGTATTTTTTTCTGCATGGTCAGTGGATAATGTGGTTCATGTTTCACTTTAGGGTTTAGAGTAAAGAAATGCCTACCGGGTGGTGTGGTCCCTGTATGAGCAAAGTGGTCCATGGTTGACCCATTAACAATTAAAAACCGCATGGAAATTATTGAAAACAATCGCATGTTCCATTTGTCTATTTCTTTATTGGTTTGTATTGTTTCAGTGGTCCATATGTCTTGCCTTTGTTTTATGAGTAAGTACCCTGTTTTTGAAGTCGTCGTTGGATTAATGAAAGCTACCTTTTTTTGTTTGTACAAATGTCTGAATATATAATGATTATTTATCATTATGGTGGTATTTTAATAAGAGATGAAGATGGAGTGATGACCTATATAAATGGGAGAGTGGACTCACTGCCTGAGATAGATATTGATTACTGCAATTTGCGTGACCTTGACACTCTGTTTAAGCAATTTGGGTATGAAAAATGCAAAAAGATGATGTGGCTAAAGCCTGGTGAACCTAATTTGGAACAAGGCCTCAGACCACTTAGTACTGATTCGAATGTATGTGCCATGTGTGATGCTGCTTTAGGTAATGGCAATGAGATACATGTGTATTTTGAAGACTGCATTTCAATTCTTGAGTTTGGTTCACCTGAGACAACAGTACAAAGAATAATGTGGTTAATTCCACATATAATGAGGACCATGCATAGGATGATGATGGGATGAATTCGGATCATGAGATTTCACATGATCATGGGGTCAATTCGGATCAGAAGATTTCACATGGTGATGGGGTGAATCATGAGCAAGAAAGTGTAGCGGATGGTGGTAATTCATCCAAACATGACAATGTAGATGATGAGGTTGCTTCCTCAGATTTAGATTCATATGATAGTGCAGAGAATGAGGCATACAAGGCCCCCAGGTGTTGAGGACTGATGTGCCTCTGGAAAGTGTAGTTTTCTGTGTTAAAATTGATAAGAATTGAGTCATAAAAGAGAAACTTAAATATATATTTGCTAACTATATTGATTCTTTCTTTTCAATAATATTTCTCACCTATTAGTTGTGTTTTTACAGGAAAAAGGAGTGAAAATTACAAATTATAAAAAGCCTGTAGACGCGACTCCGCACTGATGTGTCACAGTACAATGGACAGAAATATGACGCGGACCAGCGCCACACTGACGCAGACCCGCGCCAGATTGCGAACTTTGCAGCGGAGGTTTCTGAGTGGCGCCCAGTGGCGCCAAATTCATGAAAAAATCAAGTGGCAGTGGCATGGCGCCACTTAGCGCCAAAACCATGCCAACTAGCGCCAAAATGAAAGCTTCCAAATTCATGGCGCAAGATGGCGCCAATTCCATGCTAGGTGGCGCCAATTTACAAGAAAGTTGTCCGGATTTTTTTATTCTGGCAGAAGCGCGGTGCTAACTTGCGCCACACCGGCGCCAACTGGCGCCGGGTTGCGAGAAAATAATACCGTGTTGTCCTGGGGGTATTTTTGGAAGAAATAAAAGAGGCTTATAAATAGGATCCTTATGAAAGAATTAGAGATTCAGACCCATTCTTCTGAAGAGAGACAACGGCGGTGCTCAGAGAGGATTCCTGGGATCAAGTTCTTCTTCTCATTTCTCCTTAAATTTTATGCTTTTGAATATTGGATTATTTTAAGCCATGATTATGCTTGGCTAGTATTTTTATTGTAGTTAGGGTCATGATGCTCACCGACAAGTGTACCGATCGCACAAGTAATATAGAAAGTAAGTAAAGTATCGTCTCCACAGGGATTGGGTCGAATATCAATTAATCGTTCCTTTCAAGAATGGAAGAGTTCAAAAGGGTTTTGACAAATATTGTAGGTTTGTGTAAAATTGAGAACTTAAAATAAAGACTTGTTTTTAAATTTTTAATTATGAGAAAAAGAACAATAAAAATGAGAATTGATTTTTGTAAATGTGAGAAAAACATTGTAGCTAGAGCGCACTCACCTTATGATCCCCACTTCTTACTTTGGATTGATTTACAATATTCAATTATATAATTACTCAGATAAATTATTATCTAGAATTAATTAGTTAAATCTCAATCCCTTGGCAATTTAACCCTTTAACCTCAATTGGAATCCTAATCCCTTAGTAACCCCTCATGAGAATTAAGCAATGAACTCAATAATTTAAGCATCTGTAATTAAATATACATATAAACCTAGCATGCATAGTAATTGTTATCTTACCCACTTTCAAGATGAAAACCCCAATATTCCTATCTAGGGTTCTAACCCTCAAACTATCCTCAACTATTAGATTGATCAAGTCTAACAAAGAAGATATAAAATACGCACAAGGTAAAGATAGAGATAATTATATAAACGAAAAACCATAAATCAATCCATCGTAACAAGGGTTCACATAGGGTTTGTGAAGGACCATGAGGATGAACAGACTGTACCATTGGTGGGAAAAAAAAAAGGCCTGCAAAACAAAAACCAGTTAGACTGGTCATTACCCCAAGACTATGACTCTAGTTATAGCCATAGTTAGTAGGAACATTATGGTTTTTTTGGAACACATATGTATTGGCCTTCATGGAAATATGTCAGTGGAATTTTTTTGTATGACTGTGGCATGTTGGCCTTGGTTAGTAATTGTAACTAGGATGTGATGAAATGAATGCAAAATGTTTGCTTACTATTTGTGTTTTGTGTCATTAATGTATTCAATGCTGCAATTTTTAAATTTTGGTCCACACCTACTGTCTGCTGATACACTTTGTGGTTTTTGTCAACAATGGTATTTTTTGTTCTGTTTTTTGTGTCCATTATCAGTTCCCTATTTTTACAGTGTAGCTTCACTGTAGCTTCAATGTAAAAAAATAAGTTATGTTTCTGTCAACAACGGTTTCTGCTGATGAAATGGTATTTTTTGTTCTGTTTGGGAATGTCCATCATAAGTTCCCTGTTTGTTATGTTTGTTTTGTTCTGTTTGCTGAGTCCATTAATGTTCTGGATCATTAATGTATTCAATGTAGCTTCACTGCACTTGTAAACCATCTGCAATTAAGTGGCCTTATAAGCCCTCAACATTTTCTATCGAGGATATTTTTAGTTCTTGTTTTATAATTCATAGGTCCATTATGGTCCCTAACAAAATTATCGGGGTCCTTTTCAGTCCCTGCTATATTTCTGTTAACAACAATGTATGTTTGCTATTAACAGACCAGCAATGACATTTCCTCTTGTTCATGCTGATATCAGTCATGACTAACAAGAATGTACATTTGCTATAAACAGACTAGCAACCTTTTTTATCTGCATCAAGTTTATACAACACTTTGTGCCAATAAACATAACTTCAAATACATAAGCCATGCTATATACATTTCATGAACAACAATTCATTAAATTTCAACACTGCTCCTTCCATTACAAATCTTTACATTCCAAAAATGTTACAACATGTAATGGTAGATACACCTGCAAATAGAAACAGAACCACATGATATATTTCACTCCAGCCTACTTGCAAGACATATACATATTACAAACACAACAATAGATCCAGCAAATACCCTAGCACACCTACACACATGCTTAATTTCCTTCTCCACCCTTTCAAACTCTGCTTGCATCTTCATTGATAGTTCCTCAATCTTTATATGGTGCTCATTAATCTTCTTTTTGTGGTCATTCACCTCCAGCTGCAATTCATCATTGAGCTTCATGTCCACAAAGTTCAACTTGAATTCCATTTCAGCTACATTCAACTCCAGCTTATTAATTCTCCAGTCTTCCAGCTCCATGGTATCAGATGTAGCATCATCCACCCATGTAAAAAAAGTTGCAGTGTGGCTTCTTTTTCTAACACTAAATTAAACCAAACTGTTAATAACATTCAAATTAGACAGTTAACGCATGTAAAAAAATACCTCTTCTTGAAATTGGGGCACCCGAAAAATGCTCTATTTGGATTTCTAATTGTTTTGGAGGTGTAAACAACATTGTGCCTCCCACATTTACACAATGGAACAGCTCTCATTCTTTTACTTATGGACCCAAATGAACTACAAGGGCTTGAGCTCCCCCTCCTAGAAGAAATATTCATCTCCTAAACACTAAGTTTCAAATAAAATACCAAATTGAGGATAAACGCTAAATCAGTAATCCCCAAATTCAAACGTTCAATCTTCTATTTAATCCCCTTCTCTCTGGTTTAAGAAGAACCCTAAACCATACGATGACGTTCCTTTGAAGAAATTGAGAGGGAATGACAACTTAACGTTCAATTGGGTTTCTTCAAAGGATTATGAGCAACGTGGATTATGGAGCTTCAGACGACGTCGTTCCACCTTCAACGTGGCAATGACTGTGCCCATTAACGTGACACATCAGCTTCGTCAATGACGTCGTGTGTTTGGGATTAACAGAAGGATCAACATGGGATCTATTTGTCTTTGTTGGGGACTATCCAACTAATTTATTTTTGTTAGGGACTAAAATGGGTACCGAGTTTTTTGTCAGGGACCAATTTGGATATTTACTCTAAAAAAATTTATGTGGGTCACTTACAAATTAATCAAATTAATTTGAATTATAATTTTGACTTTTAAATTTGAAATTTGAATTTAAATATAGTCATGAAATTAGATTTGATGACAATGGAGAAAATTAAGAAAACCAAATAATTAGATTGATTGGCTCAAATTAAAGAAACCAATTAATTAGATTGATTGGTTAAAATTAGGAAAACCAGCCAATTGGATTGATTGGATTTTTTCAATTACCCTATACGATTGGGAAATGATGAGGCGCTAATCAAGGGGTTGATTAGTTATCATATTTAATTTTATTTCTTCCTTATTTAAATAATATATTTTTCTTATTTTGCTCAATCCAAAACCCTAGCCGAAAATTACTCATTACCAATAATTACCTTGAGGAAGACATAACGTGTCTTTCATTATCCTGTGTCTCATCTGCTTATTCTCACTCCTCAATATATCTCACATACAATATCCCTCCCATCTTCCTTTCTATCATCTGAATTGCAACTTCCTCCAAAATTCAAATTGCATCTTCGACTTCTGGTTCAAAACAAACGAGATTTGAAAGAAAGCTTCAGCTGTGTAGGAAACGACAATTGAGAAACTCGCACAGTGCAAATAATTATGGTCTTTTGCAAACAACATTCCACTCAACAATTTTGCAACAATTGTTCTTTCCTTCAATGAAACTATTTCATTTAAATTTTATACTCTATAAGGAAAAATTCATATGCCTCATTTACAAAAAAAATAAAATTCATATGCCTCACTACTCATAAAATATTATTTTTCTTTAAACAATTATTTCAGATACGTATAATGTCAAATACCAATTTCAGCTATAATAATAAATTAAAAAGGTTTACAATTTTTATGGTTGTTTCTATCAAGTAAATCTTTGAAAGAATTATATAGTTAAAATATTAATTTTCGTTTCCAAAATTTACAATTCATAACCAAATTAAAATAACTATATGTTACATGTGTTAACTCATCAAATGATTCTTGCAGTATAAATTTATAATGTACAATTCATATTTAAATATCTTTCATATGCATTACTATGCAATTGCTCATATTTGTTGATATCATTGATAGTATTAAAAGAAAATCAAAATCTAACTCTGTGCAATGATTGTACTACTCCATAGACGAAAAGAGCAAGACCAGACATGTCATTTGTTCCTGTAGCTAATTTACAAGTTAAGATTATTAAATTTTACTTCTTCAATTAAAATATTATTTTATACATCAAACTTACTAGCAATTAAAAACAAATATATACTATTTTATTTTAAATTTGTAATAATATGTGTAGGGTTACAGAAAAATAAACTTTGAAGTAAATGTGAGGGTGCTTCAACTCAACAGAGAAAACGAGGAAGACTGTTACAAACATTCAATCTTATACCTCTATACAAGATCTATTTGTAGTACAAATTTATTCCTATTATTAAATTTTTAAATTTTTATGTTCAATTAAACTCACCAATTCTCATTTGTGTAGAAACAACACATATTCGACACTATTGACTAATTCAGCAACAACGTTTAACCCAAACAAAAAAGTTTCACTGTTAGAATCTCAAATGGTATGTGACTTCTTAATTTTATTTTCAAACCTTATAATACTTTATAATTTCCATAGTTTATTAGCAGTTATATCTATAACGATAGTTTTCATTTATTATTTACTTATGAACTGTATTGTCTTATTATCTCAAAGTTGTTTGCATTTTTAACAAAAATGCATTGTAATTTATTTTTATTTTCCAAAAATATTTGTAGGTTTACTAATGAGTATCAAATATACTATGTTTTTAATATCAAAATTAGATTAAATAATGATTAATATGATTATGAATATAGTGTTAATTAATAAATGCAAAAGATATTAAGATTTCAACAATTAGATATGATTCTGATCTTTTTTTTTTTTTTTGTAAATCTGATCTCTTTTCATATTGTTTCAGGTTTAAAGTAATAAATTACAAATTTTGATGGATAAAAGCAGTTGGAAGAGATAAAGATAAAGCAAAAATAACATAATTAATCAATATTATTGAGCTCCTCAGCGAGCCTGATGCAAATTAAAAGCCTAGTTTTATTTATTTATAAAGGACAAGGTTAGGCCTATGGCAGAGGATTCACGCGGCCAAAGACCTAGAGAGGAGAGGAAGCAAATGAGAGCTCTTAGAAAGGAGAAGGAAGAAGAACAACTCAAAGTTTCACCGTGGATCATCTTTAACTTGGTTTTATCATGAATGCTCTTTTTCTTTTATCTATTGTTCTTGTTTTCTTGAACATGTTAGGCTAGTTTTTTTATGTAGTTAGGGCGAGATGGAACCAATGGGTTCCTGAACACTGTTTAATCCTTCTTGTAATTATTTTTCATGTTTCAATTATGCAATTAATCTCTTTTAAATTCATAGTCTCGTTTATGATCTGGCCAATCTTGAATGGGCATTAGAATCGTGCATGTCAATAGGAATATTGCTTTCTTGATTCCGTTTGATTAATTGCTAGAGTTTGTATGTTCTAGGAACTGTCTTATAAATTCTATGACACATATTTTTTGACCTTAAATCTTGCTTTAGAAAAGAAGCTTTAAGGGATTAGAGCCTTGAAATAGAGTAAAGAACTAAAATCACCAAGGGATTGGGGATTCAGTTAAATTAAAAAAGATTGTCAATAATTGATCTTGAATGTTAATTGCATGAAAGATTAAACTCATCAGGAAAATATTGGGGAAGTTGATTCCCTAACTACATTTGTCTTTAATTAAAGGTTAAAACAATGTTATAAAAACTGGCCCGGTTATCGAACCGGTCGGAGTGCTGGGTCATTGGGTCGCTGGTTCAACCGCATGACCCGAATATGTATATATATATATATATCTGTGTGTGTGGGGGGGGGAAGGATATTGTAACAACCAATTAGTGTTACTACCAATCAATTTCACCGTTAGATCGATTATGTTGATCTAGCAGTTATATTTATTTCCATCTTTGTATGGTTATGATTCTCCATATTTAATATTTTATATTTATTTTCACCTTTGTATGTAGGGGTGTTAACGAGCCGAGCCTGTGTTCAAATGTGTCAGACTGGCCTTAGCTTGTTACCTGTTACGAATATAATATCAGCCTGTGGCCTGGCTCATTTACAAAAAATAAAAGCCTTGTTTAGCCTGTTAGCCTGTTTAAAAAAAATAATAAAACAAAAATTTATCCAAACAAAATATACAATCAACAGCACTAGTAATTTCATAAATATTCATAAATTTAATGTATATCCAAATAGCATAATATAAAACAAAATCATTTAAAAAGTCTGTTTAATTAATAAAATGGGATGAAATAAATTGAGAAGAGAGAGGGCTATCACAAGTAGTATAAAAAATAAATAATATATTAGGCAAGCCTGAGAGGCTCTAAGGCCGAGCTTTTAAATTGGAGTCTGAGGCCTTTTTATTAAACGAACTTTTATACAAGTCCAAGCCTGGGTCCAACAATCAATTTTAGACATGTAAGTTCAGGCATTCACGAGCCGAGCCAAAGGCCCCTGTAAGGCCCCTGGCTCGTTTAGCACCCCTATTTGTGTGGTTATGATTTTTCATATGTAATGCTTTCACATTAAATATAGAGAATCATAACCATACAAAGATAGAAACAAATATAACCGATGGATCCATATAATCGATCTAACGGTAAAATTGATTGGTAGTAACACTAATTGGTTGTTACAATACCCTACCCCTATATATATATATATATATATATATATATATATATATATATACACTTTTTAATTTTTAATTTGGGATGCTAGTTATAATTTTTTATTTTAAATTAAAATAAATATGAACATATTACCATTAAAAAAAAATAAAGGTGCATAGATGTGAATAGAAGAAAAAATGATACATGAAATAATATGAACAGGCCCATTGAGTTCAAAAAATGTTACAATACTCTTCTTTGTGGGTTTGCAAGAAGAGTGAAGTTAGATTTGACCCATTGAGTTCAAAAAAGGCTGAACAGGTCCAACTTTCCAAAACCCTAATATTCCTATTTCACATTTAACATTTCCTTCCAATCTCAGTTAGAAAAAACCAGCAGTCGCCTATGTTGATTTTTCTCTGGTTTTAGCCAAAACCAGAAACGAATCCAGCATATAAATGGTTTTCACATGTCACTAACTCGCGAAGTCTAGCCGCCTCTGTCTCATAAACCCTTATCTGGTTTTTGCTGATTAGTCTTCTTGTCTATTTTTCAGTTTTCTCTTCTCTGATTTGTTTTCTGTTTTTCTCTCTTATAGTTTCATTTCTAGTTTCTCTCTTCTTGTTTCGTTTCTGGTTTTCTCTTCTGGTTTCGTTCTGATTTTTTTGTTTCTTAAGGTTGTGCCTTCGATCTGAGTCAAAAAAATACATAGCCGTCACTACTTTCATTATCGGTGAGGGAATATCCCGAGTGTTTTTTGAACCGGCGGGTAA